ATTATAGGGACTATTTATCTTAAACCTCATATGTGACCTAAGTAGGCGACTGTTACATGTGTATGACACTTTTTATGATCTTTGATCATTTTGTACAGATATTAGAAAACATCAAAGTTTGACGCGTTTCAATTTTATTATCATCATCAGAACTGAAAATCAAAAAAGGAACTGATTATAAATACAGACACTACACAATGACAGAAACAAGTTACTAGCTGATATACATCAGAACACAGAAACAAGAAAATCCCGCGTCTACCTCTGCTCACAGTTTCAGGGTCAAGTGTCGCTGCGCATACTCTTCACTAGTATTTAGCTGCGGGTCCAGTTGTGCGATTTAGATAGCTTCCAAAGACAAAAGTAAAGATAGTTTAGAATTTTTAAAACCTGAAGATGCACAAAAATGTGCGAAAACGTTTGTTTGAATTTACAATTTTAACGCATTCTCAAAATAAACTATGAAAATAAACCACTTAATGGTGTTGAAGAAGAAGAAAAAAGAACACATGAATTACTATACAGTAAAAAGCCGAGGCATCAGTATAGCAAAGTGTTAATAATAAAGTTGGTTAAAATTCATTGGTTATATCAAACAAAAACACAACATCAGAAACCAAGCAATAAACAAAACAAAACAAAACAACACAAGTTCGGTTACAGTTCAGAAATTGGTTGATTAAAATATATGAAGTTACGGATACTAAAAAAACATCAGTTTTAAGAATTAAGAACGAGCTGGTATTAAAACTTTACAAACAATTTTATAGATAGTCCAAACATACAGCGTATATACAGAGTATATACAGATTCTGATTCAAACAATGTCTGGAAAATTAAACTAAACTAAAACATATAGAACTAGCAAAAACGGAAATCACGCCACGTATTTGTATTTGTACATATTGGATTGTTTCTCAATTCACTCACGTAAAATTCTTTCAATTTTTTCTTGAATCCTGTTCTCGATTTTTCTAAATTGAACAAAATTATGGGCAGTGAATTCCATTTCTTAGAAGTCAAATGAAAAAATGATTTTTGTAGAGAAGCGGTTGAACAATGTTTGTCAAAAAAAATTTGTTTCGATCTTTTGTTGAGCCTATAATTGGCAGTCGGTAGTCTCAATGTATTTTGAAAAGCCTTCTTTTTGTTTGTAAGATTTTGGTATAAGTATGTTATACACTTTAACTCAATTCTTTTCTCGATTCCAATGAACGATTTGCTAAAGCGAAGAAGGGAAGAAGATTTAAATTTCGATCTGAAATATGTTCTTTTTAACGCCCAGTTCAACTGTTTCTCTAGAGATAGCATCAAACTAATTTAATTTGTTGTAAAAATATTGCTGAATAATCTAAATGTGATAAAACAAGACAATGAAGCAAGGCAACTAATGATAATGTCGGCAGTTGTTGTCCAATTGTATCTATAGTTTTAATTCTTTGTGCCATTTTTTGGAGAATTGTTTTGATTTGAGCATGAAAAGATAAACTTGAATCAAGAATAAGGCCTAAATATTTGCATTCTGATTTTTGGCTACATAATGCCCATTAATTACTATTGTATCAGTATCTACATTTTTGCTATCGTTTTTTTGACAAAATGTTATAAATTCCGATTTAGATGCATTCAGATTCAATTGGTTCTGTGCAAAAAAATCCGCTAGATTATTGAGTGATTTTTGCAATCGATACAAAGCATCCTCAGAAATTATAGAGGAGGAAAAAACCATACAGTCGTCAGCATATTGAACTAAAGTACAACCTTCATATAATCGCTCTTGTATGTCATTAACATATAAATTGAACAACAACGGACCAAGTACCGTTCCTTGTGGGACACCTCGTTTGATTTCAATCCAGTCTGAAAAGATTCCATTGACGTTTACTCTTTGAATACGTTTGCTTAGGAAGCTAGCAATTAAAGCATTTGCTCCATTTGAAAAACCGAGGGAAAGCATTTTTTCAATTAAAACTTCATGCGAAATAGAATCAAAAGCCTTGGACAGATCTAATAAAGCTGCATGTACGACTTTTTTGAATCTATTTAATTTCGAGAGCATCTTGTGTTGAAATGTTTTTGCGAAATCCGAATTGAAATGGTGTCATTATTTGAAATTTGTCAAGATGTTCTGTTATTTGGGCATGTAAATTTTTTTCAAAAATTTTAGAAAAAGCACAAGTTATTGATATTGGCCGATAATTTTTTGCATCCATTGGTTCATCTTTTTTAAACAAAGGGGTTACGTGTGCTTTTTTCAGTTCGATCGGGAAAATGTTCTCATCTAAGCAAGTATTTATGACAAAAGTTAAATGTGGAACTATAACTAATTGACCGTCAATGATTGCCCAAGCAGGTTCGGTACAAGGTCCGAGAGGTTTTCTAACATTGATTTTTCGAACTATATCACAGCATTGCTTCACTGTAATGTGTTGAAAATGGAAAGGTGCAGATTCAGAGCCAGTTTTGTTGTAATTCGGAGGCTTTTTAGCGCCGAAAAATTCGCCTAAGTTTGAAAAAATATAATTTAAATGATTGGCAATTTTTTTGTTTTGGGTTATCATTTCACTGAAGGAATTTCGTAGAACTGTAATTCGATTGTTGCCAGAACATGTACCTCTAACTTGGTTAATATATTTCCAATTTTGTTGGATAGTGCTGAGAAGTGAAAAACAATTTTTTGAATGATCGAGTTGTTTACTTCTAATCAATTGGCTCAGTTGATTATGTAAAAACTGGTACTTTGACCAATTATCGCTTGTGCTTTGACTGCGATAAGATCTGAGTGAATTCTGTTTCCTAATCAACAATTGCTGACATTCTGAATCGAACCACTCCGTTTTCAACACACTTTTTGGTTTAAAATTACGAACAAATTTTCTTTGGATAGGAGCATGTTGCTGAAGAGCACTAGAAATTAAATAAATCATCGTCGAGAACATGTTTTGTGCGTCTGTACATTGATATAAGAGATACCAAGGAAGAGCGGAGAGTGTATTACAAAATTCATTTTTCTGATAATTTTTCATATTGAAAGTCGAAATTATCCTCGGTAAACTTTTGCCGCATTTTGTATCCGTCAAAATAAATGAAGCAAAATGGTCGGTTTTATATGGTGTATCAAAACAAAATTCAATGCCGTTTGTTTCATAGTCACAGATAATGTAGTCGATATGAGTTTTAGTTGAGGAACTAATTCTGGTCTCATCGTTTGGACAAAAATCCTTCACTCCATATGGAATAATTATAGAATCTAAATTTTCTTTTTCTTTGCTATCCAGATAATTTATGTTATAATCACCCAGAAGCGTAATTTTATTAGAAACTGAAAATGCATTATCTATGTTAAGCGTTAATTGTTCCAAAAAATCAATAAAGTTTGAGCTGCTTGGATTATAACACAAATTAACTAACATTTTTTCTTTACTGGAAATGTTAAATGTAGATTTGCACTCAACCCACACTGACTCATATTTTTCTTCATCAAACAAATTTAAATCAGGCCTCAATTTCGGAGCCAATTTGACTGGTATATATAACAAAACGCCACCGCCTTTCTTTTTTACCGCTGATTGCCTATCATATCTGAACATCGCATGCGTTCTAGGGTGGAGATTCCATAAATTGTCACTATCTTCTTTTTTAAGTCACGTTTCGGAAATTCCTATAATTGTATTTTCGCCCATGTCATCACAAAATTTTTTCAATTGCATCCGTTTTCTAATAATACTTTGAAAATTCAAATGAACAAATTTAAGATTTGCACAATTTTTTGAGCAGATGCCGTAGACTGTTTCAATGGTTTCAATAGGACCAGGGTTTTTTTTCAACATCCCCACATTGGGTCAGTAACACCGCAAAAAGGAAAAAATGAGTCAGTGTGGTAGCTCTCCGCTCATTTATCCCACATTTCGATGATAATATCTTTTGATGGCAGCTTAGATAGCCCCAGTAAACAATGGTTTTTTCTATATTTTCCATCTGAGCCTTGGAAATTAGAAAAATTGCACAAAACAACCAGCATTTAATATTCAGCATAATAAATTAAATAAATTAAAAATCCGTCAAAATAATCCGTCATAATCCAGTCTTTTTGGACAGTGTTTTATGATGTTTTAACGTCTGCAAAGCATTTTGTCAATTTTATTAACATGGCGATGGACATAGTTCCGAAAACGTTCGAATTCACATTTAAATAATTTTTCTTTATGAAAATAAAACATTTACAGCCTATGGAAAGATAATGTGGCACAAATTTAAATTTATCTGACATTAAGCATTGTTGTTTTTATTCTATTTAACGTTAGATCATTAGATAATTTTATTTTGTTTAAGCATTATAAGTACAAGTAATTTTTAATCTTTAATTCTTAATAAAGTTTGTTACTAAATAAGCACATGAAGTAGAAGTAGTAATTTTTTTTTAAATAATATTTAAATTTTGGAGATTTTCTCAAAAAGGCCGTGAGAAATACAACAGAGAACTGAAATTAATTTGTGCACAATTTCATTTCTTAAAATTCATTAAATAATTCCAAAAAATCTACTGATCAGAACTGACTGAAACTCAGATTGGCTGATACTTTAAAATTCTGATGATTTTGGGGGATTAATATGGTAAAAAGGGGAAAAATCAGAAATATACTCAATTTTGCGTGAAAAATTCAACCTGGCTTTCGGACTATGGAAATAAATCTTGATGCCAGGTAGCACCTTACTACCGAAATTGCAACTTAGCATCACTATTTACTGGTCGGATGCAAGTTGGCTCGAGATTTACGTATCGGTGTGTAAGTTGTCATGAAGATCTCGTAGTGGTAGTATAGGCTTTTGGACAGTTGTCCAAGGGTTTTCACTCCTCAGTTTTCATCCGGCACAAAATTGAGTTTTTTTCAGGGTGTTGCAAGTAAAGAACATTGAAACCATTGGATCTCGGTTAGCATGTAGGAAGTTGTTGAGCTAGTATTACCAGTCTTTCCCCAGCGAGACTCTTGATTTTATTTTTAGTTTTTAATGAAATGTTTGTTTCGGCGGGAACTAGGATTGCCCAAAAAAGCTTCAGTTGCTTGGCCAAGGCATCAAATTTTTGTTCTTTGAGACTTTTATCAAACGCAAATACAAGGGACATCAATGATATGGAATTCAGCTTCGCTCCTCTGACCTCGATATCCGAAGATGAAAAATCTATTCAAGAGGCCGTAGAGAAATTTGCTAATGAAAGATTGAAGCCTTTAGTGAGAAAAATGGACGAGAACGCAAACATGGACCAAGGACTGATTGATGAACTGTTTGCAAATGGCTTTATGGGAATTGAAGTTCCCGTTAATTATGGCGGTGTAGGTAAATCTTCGGTGTCATAACCCTCGGTGTCTTAGCCATCTGTATTGAAGATTATTTTATCTGGTTAAGTGGATAGTGCGTGAGACTCAAAATCCCTTGATTGCAGTAAGTCGCAGATCGAATCTTAAACCTAGCCGAGTTGTTCACCTACTGAGTTTTCTGTTTTTTTATCGCGTTTTTTTCTAGAGCTGCTTTTTGATAGTGTTCTCGCAAGTGTTTGCGAAGTGCAGCTTCGCCTCTGTGTCAAAAAAATGTCGGCCTAACACGGGGTCATTTCAAGGGAGGCATAAGATTTTTGCTTCATTATGGATTGCACAAAATGCAGAAATGCTTAGAATATAATTTATAGCTCAAAGTTTTTCATGACAACAGTTATATTTTCGGCTCTACGGGAAATTGTACGAGTTTCATCTCCGTTTGTTAATTTTTTTTTTGAGTTTCCATTTATTGCCGTCGGTTGTGTTTCTGGAGATGTTTTCCGCAAAGAACACGATTCCAGGCAGCATTTTGATATTTTAATTTATGGTTTTTTGAAGTTTTTTTTGTTCTTTTTTATCTGGTATTGCTAGTGGTGCAAGTAGTATCGCCTCTGTGTTGATAGTTTGATAGTTTTTCAATAGTTTTTTTTCTTCAAATGGTAAAAAGAGCTCATGGGGTGCTGGTTTAATACGAGCGAAACTTATATGCGCTTTATGCTTACTGTTAGCGAATTAGTAAACAAAAATCGAAAAACTCTAATGCTAGAAAATGTTTTGCATTAAATTTTCATTTTTTTTTGGATGCAAGTTTCTGATTTATTTTATTTTGTCCTAAAAGTGCGTAGAATTCGTTTTGATTAATTTTTTGGAGCATTTTGGTTCAAGCAATTTCTTTCAAAATCAATTCAATCTGATGGCACAGCGTATTGTTTTATTCTGAGAAACTTTTCGATAAAGAATTGTTCATAAATTTCAAGAACTTTTTTGTTTACAATGTTGAATTGACTTTGCTATTTTGACTTGACCTTTCTGAGAAGGTATGTGGCGAAAGATAGCACAAAATACGCGAGCGTGGTTCTTTTTGGATATTTTTTTTGATAAAACTCCTGTTTGATAAAAACAGATATTATGAAAATGTATTGGTTTTGGCATTTCTTTGAGACGCTTTGGATTTTTTTTCTCCTTTTTCTTAAATTTTAGTTTTTCGCAAAAGCTACTACCGATTTCCAAAATAAGTAATACCAATGGAAGGACAGCTCTTTCCCCTGTGTGCCTAAATATTCCCCTGGTTTCTTTTTATTTTACCCCACTTTCTACAGCCTTCGATAAATGAGAATGTTTGACCTAAAGTTTTTTTGCTTTCTCGAAAACTGCTTTCCCAAATTGAATTTTGGGTTCAATAAAGAATCGGGTTGTGGGAAGATTTTCTGACTTCTTGAAAACTACCCTTCATATCTGAGGTTTTGAATTCAATAAAACAAATGGATTGTGTAAAACACACTGCATCAGCGGTTACGCTCATTTTTTTACACAAAAAGTTATGGTCTTCGGAAAAATCAAATATCAATTTTTTTAAACTCTTTTAAACTTTTCTCAAAAACTACCCTCCCAAGTTAAAGAATAAGTTTTAAAAAATAGATAATGGAAATCGTCCAGTCATAAGCGAATACGCCCTAGTTTTTGAAGTAAAAAAAGTCTAATTTGGACAGTTTATTGGAGACTTTTTCTTGATCTTTTTTAGCCTACATTTTCTTCTACAGAATTCGCTTAATTTTTTCACTTGTTTGAGACACATGGTCTTTTGAACATGCTTTTTAAAATCGCAAATGGTTCGAAGCTTAGCTTCGCCTCTGTTTATAAAGTTTTGTTTAGGCTCCAGCTTTTTCTCTTCTATTCTTGCCGTGGAAGAAGTGGCGAGAGTGGACCCTTCGGTCGCAATTCTCGTTGATATTCACAACACGCTAATAACGACAGTGATAATGCAACATGGCAACGAGGAGCAGAAAAAATACTGGCTCCCCAAGTTGGTCTCAGATACCGTCGGATCTTTTTGTCTGTCAGAGGCGACATCGGGCAGTGATGCGTTTGCAATGAAGACTGTTGCAAAACCAGACGGAAAGGGAAATTATGTAATAAACGGAACAAAATTGTGGATCAGGTACTTGTATTTAGCCATATACTCAATTCAATGATTTTGTAATAGATAAATGCAATTGAATTGGTTATGATAAATAACTAGAAAGGCGTTGTTGCAGGGTATTCTATTGAAGTTGATTGTGTCTGACCGAATAAATCAGAAGTAGTTTAAGAGGAAGCAGTGAATATGAATAATTTGAGTGAGGTTTTTTGTAGTAATTCGGAGCAGGCAGGACTGTTTGTCGTGTTCGCCAACACAGACCCCTCTAAGGGTTACAAGGGCATCACCGCCTTCCTCGTCCCCCGCGACACTCCCGGTTTGACAATTGGGAAGAAGGAGGACAAAATGTGCATCCGGGCATCCTCCACTTGTCCTCTTCATTTCGAAAACGTCATGGTGTGTATAGAAACCCGTACTATGCTTAAAATTTTTACACTAGCGAGGTTGCGAGCGTAGTTTATTATAGAAAATGTTGGATTTTATAGGGTCATGGGAAAGTTTGGCTGGCCCTAAAAGTACTTGGGTTAACAAATAACTGGTTGATGTAAAATTTGCGGCACAGCGCAGATAGAAGAAAAGTTGTAAATAGTGATTTAATTGAGATTATCTTTTTTGTTCTTCCATTTCCTACGAGAAAAGAAGATCAATCTGAAAGTAATAATTGGAAGGCGTTTTTTTCACGGAATCTTATTGAAGAATGAGTTTTGGTTAGTAAAAAAGATAAAATCGGTATAGATAATTTTTTGCCAAAAAAATTTAGTCATATAGTGATTCTGCTTGGTTTTCGGCAGTGTTTAAGCATCGCTGGCCTGAAAAAAGACCTTTTCTACCGAGAAAAAAATTGACCTAAAAATTCATGCACATGTCGCGGGTGCAAGCGAATCAGAAATTATGCCTTAATTGAGGTTGTCTTTTTTCGCATTCGATTGCCTTTTTGAAAACACGATCAATTTGATAGTTTGAATCGAAATATCCATTTTCCCCCAGGAATCTAATTTGCAGATTTCGAACTGTACCTTTTTTTGGAACTTATAGATTATTTTTCGGTTTGAGTCCCTTATTTCATCTTTTATCTCTTTTTGTAATTTTTTAGTTTTAAATAATATATTTTTTTGAACTGTGAACTTTTTTGAACTGAACTTTTTTGAACTGTGAACTTGAGTAAAAGATGTATGTGAATAGGTATCAGGAGACCAAGTGCTGGGTGAAGTGGGTCAAGGCTATCGCTACTGCATTGATATTCTAAACGAAGGCAGAATAGGCATCGGGGCCCAAATGATAGGGTTGTGCAGAGGAGCACTGGACTGTACAGTACCCTACCTACATGAGAGAATACAATTCGGACAGCCAATTTGGAACTTCCAGGTATTTAAACATAATTGTTCATTTTTAAAGAAAATCCTTTTTTTATGAGTTCTTCCACGTAATTAGTTGAGGATTTTTCAACGTTTAAGAATCAGTGGACGTAGTTGCCGCTGATTTGTTTTTGGGAAGTTGATATTTGAAGCCCGCTATTTTTGAAAGTGGAGGGCAAGTTACGCTTGCAGAGAACTTTCGCGGTCTCTCAGAAGAGAATAAAATGGCGATAGCTAACGGTTTAAAACTGAGGTAATCAATTCAATTGAACCCGCCATTGAGAAACGTACATCTCTGAGCTTAACTTCCTCAATATTTATACATCAATGATTGAAATTGAAATTGAGATATTTTTTAGTTGTCTTCATTTCAATTTCAAAAAATTTTAGATTTTTTAAAAGTCCAAAATTTGATCACGCTCAAATTTGATTTTCGGAGGTTTGACTTCTGATTTCTTTTTAAATTCAGTTCAAATAAAAATTTGATAAACGGATGGCAAACTACGCTCTCCAATGATGTAAGTTTAAATTCCTCATAAATTGTGTATGACTTATACAGTGCTGATTTAAATTAACCGGACAAAACGAGCTAAGCTTGAAATTTAAAACGCGTTTTTCTCTTATGAATACAAAACTTGCTTAAAATTTTAGCAAAATTGATATGGTGTAATTTGTTTTGAAAAATTCGGGCCCAAAATTTTACCCCAAAAATGGGCCATTTTTGTTTTTCTTAGTTAATCAGAAATTACGCCAAAAATAACCTGTCGATCACTGACATAATTATATCAAAGTGAGCCACTTACGTAGCCCAACAAACTTTAAGAAGGGTATAATCTCCAAAATATTGTATAAGTTAATTTATTTTTGTTTGATAGACAAAAAAGGTCGTTTTTACTACATAAAATACCAACTTTTTATTTAAAAACTATTTTAAACAATTTGCATTTTTTTTGGAGAAAATACTCTTCATAAAGTTTGTTGGGCTACGTAAGGGGCTCACTTTGATATAATTATGTCTGTGATCGACAGGTTATTTTTGGCGTAATTTCTGATAAACTAAGAAAAACTAAAATGACCCATTTTTGGGGTAAAATTTTGGGCCCGAATTCCGCATAACAAATAACACCATATCAATTTTGCTAAAATTTTAAGCAAGTTTTGTATTCATAAGTTTCACCTAAACTCAACCCAATTTGAGAAAAACGGGTTTCAAATTTCAAGTTTAACGCGTTTTGTCCGGTTAATTTAAATCAGCACTAGAATCGAAAGTGGTTTTTAGTTTTCAGAATTCGGTTTTCAAATCTTTTCTGATTGGCTGAAAAAAGTGCCAATCAGATAGGATTTTCAAAGTTCTAAGAGCTCTAACGTGATGTTTTTTCCTTCATCCTGACGTGTCTTTTTTCCTATTATAGCCTCCTAGCCGTAACACAAAAATAATAGTCCCATCAAATTAATTTTTGGAAATTCTTGGCCGTGCTGTAGGCTCAATTTGATTCTGCTCCCTGTTTAGGCCATGCAGCACCAAGTGGCAGAGATGGCGACTAAGCTGGAGGCGGCTAAACTGCTCACTTACAATGCCGCCAGGCTGAAAGAGAGTGGCTTAGACTGTGTGAAGGAGGCGGCCATGGCCAAGTACTACACTGCAGAAGTTGCGGGACAAGTAAGAGATTTAAGTTTTTTTTTAAAAGAAAACAAGGTTCAATGAACCGAGTGAGTTTTTAAGTTCGGCTGCAGGACTTTAGTTCTTTTACGGCAGATTTTTCAGTTTTTTTTCAAGAGCTCATATTACGAGCAAAAAATTTAGTATGTGTATGTGTGTGCGTTTTGTGGGGAGGGGGATTTATCAACTTTTTTTTAAGTCTTAAAAGTCTTGTTGATTTTTTTTCGGCTTGAACGGTTTCTGCTAAGGTGTTTTCGGCTTTGTTACCGCTTGATAAGTTTTCTTCCGATTTTAATTTCACATTATATTGTCCTGGCATGTTTTTTTTTCAAAACTAGCCTGATTCATTTTGATAGATCGAGGATTTTGAGATTTTGGAATTTTTTGATTTTTTCATCGATTTAGCGGCTTTCTGGTTTTGTATCGCAAGTGGTGCGAAGTCCAGCTTCACCTTTGTATTAAAGTTTAGTTCGTTTCCTTTGTTTAAAGGAAGGCAAGTTGCACTATGGAACACCAAAAATGTAATGGTCACGAAAAACGTGATTGGCGTCGTTGCGAAAGTGGAATTTAATTTTCAGATTTTCTAGCGAAATAAAATTTTCACCTGTTTTTTGAGTTTTCTCAAATTGGGTTAATTTTATCAAAAAATTCAATCATAAGTTGTTGTAGAAAATTGCAGAGCTTAAAGATCATCTATTTTTATGAAATTCGAAAATTGACGTTTTAAAAAAAACAGTCGTATTTTTTCTGTTTACTTGCGTTCCTTGACTCTTTTCCAACTGTCTGTTGGCTATGTTTGAAATTTTTTGCTGTGAGTAGCTTACGAGCAAGTGCATTGAATGGATGGGCGGAGTGGGCATTACGAAGGACTACGCAATAGAAAAGTTCTACAGGGACTCCAAAATCGGTGCAATATACGAGGGCACGGCCAACATACAACTCAACACCATCGCTAAATTCATGACCAAATGGTAGTTCACATATACGGAGACAAAGTCAGTCATATCTTTGCGGGACCTTGAACTTCTTGGAGAGATTAAACTCATTAACAGTGACTCTAAGAGAGTTCTACTTTGCAATAAATTTTAATTATGACGATGCTGATTTCAATGTCAAGAATGGTGGTATTTCTTTGTTGATTCCGTATTCGATTATTTAAATCATGAAGCAGCGCAACCTTATATTATGTTTGGATTGCTTAATTTGTGGAGTTTGATCGAAATTTGAAGTTTCCGATCTAATTATGTGTACTGATTTTTTTTGTAGAATTTAGTTTATTGGTAATTTGAATATCTATTTATTGATCAATATATCGAAAGTATAGATGCAGCGATGTCATAAAACTAGCTCTATATCTCGATCCTTCTTTCTTTATTAGTGGTTATGCAAAACTAATAGATCTTAGAGAATAGTGTTTAGCTTAGCATTGAGGGAATATTTGCATTCGATCATTCAAAAAAGAAATAGTTAATTATTTATAGAAAGCGCGTGAAATCATCTGCTTCTTGAAAAAAATTGTTTTCCCATTTTGTTTTCAAGATTCAGTGCAGTGCTGTAAATAAAATGTTTAGTTCAATATTGAGTTGATAACGGTTCTTAATAGCAGTTTTCCTGATTGTTATGAGGTAAGTGAATACCTAGGAAATAAGACATCTGGAAAGTACATTTTTAGACTTTGCCGTCGATTGTTGACGTTAGTTTTTTTCCTTCATGATTCAATTGCTTTCGTTGTTTTTAGTGCACGTTTATCCTTCTTTTTTGTTCTAAAAAAATCGAAAACCTGATTTTTGCATATTTATATTTTTGTATCTTTATATTGTCTTATCGAAAACCCAACAAATATATATCTTGTCATGCTTTTGAAGTTGCCTGGCTTTCTGATCAAAATCAAAGAATTGATCTCGAAAATTGAGTTGGAATATGTAGAAATGTCTTTACGCTTGCAATCGACACGAGTTATCAAGTCGGAAAATAAATTTTTTTTTGGTGTTATTTTGTGTCATATATTAAATTTGCATGAGTGTAGTGCGTGTATTAAATTTGAGAGCTATAATGCACAATATAGTCATTTCATTTTCAAACAACTTTACATGCTACTAGGATAGTTTTTGTAAATACATCACTCTACCAGATAAAATGTTGTTCAGAAATTCAAATTTTATACTGATTTGAAAACCAAAAATTGGCTTTTAAAATAAGTTATAAATACTGTTCGAAGCATAGCAAAAATCCGATCCAGTTATTTAACATGAACCTGCCACTTATTGTAATAAATATATCACCAGCAACTAGTCTAGCAGAATCACGGAATCATATTTTTTCAAATCTCTACTTTCGTCAACCACATGACCTATTCCAGTACATTTTTTTGACATATTTTGGGCGTCTTGCATTTTGAACACAGTTGAATTTGCAATTGGGTTGTTATTTTGCTGATTTGGATAAACTTCAGTTTTTTTTTCTGTTTAAAATTGAAAGGTTGTGCCTAATAGTAAAGTGGCAAATACAGTTTTTGAATACATCTAGTCATTATCAATCTATTATATATTTAAATGTGGTCTTCACTATTTCGCAATGTCTAAGCTTTTTCAACTTATTATTTTTGCATGTTTAACGAAAGAGTTTTGGCGCGTTTAAGCTATATCGTATATTGCAATGGTTAAATTTTCTTTCGATTTTCTAGCGTGATTTTTGTGTTTTTTTTTCAAATTTGAAATTGTCAAACCTGAATTGGAAATATCGATGATTTGAAATTATCAATGTGGGATTTTGTCACCCTAGGGGCTACGAATTGGGCCTCAAAAAATCAATACTGAAATCTTTTGTGTTGTATGAGATATGAAGATTCTTGTGATTTTTTCGAAGTATTTCATGAAACTTTCAGTTATAAAACTCCACAAATTGAAATTCTCAACCCTGTACTTGGGTGCTGTCAGGGTACTCTCAGGGGTTGCAAAGCTTGCTTCAAAAACTGACTGATCAAATCCTTTTAGTTTGCGAGATATGACGTTTTTTTTATGATTTTTTCAAAAATGATCAAAGACGATTGACAAAAATTGAAATTCTCAACTCTGAGTTGCTGTCAGGGTGTTTTCAGGCATTGCAGATTCTGCTCCAAATATGACTGCTGAAAGCTTTGACGTTGAGGTTCCGAGATCTGGCATTTTTATGATTTTTTCAAAAACTTTTAGAAAATTTTACATTTAAAATTGTGAAATGCTAACCGTGTAGTCAGCAGCTGTCGATGAACTCTCAGGAGTTCCAAATCTTGCCTCCAAGGGGACCGCTCAAATGCTTTTTTTTCGAGATATGATGTTGTTTCAATTTTTTTCAAAATTTACCAAAAAAAGTTTGACAAAAAAAAACGTTTCAAAACGTTACAGAGGTGTTTTCTAGGTACTCTCAGAAGTTGCTGATCTTGCCTCCAAGTTTGACTGCTCAAATCATCTTAGTTTCTGAGATACGCCATTTTAATTTTTTTCTATAATTTTTCTAAAAACTAAAGATCTAAAATATTTTCCAAGTTCGAAATAATCAACACTATGGCGAGGTGAGTGTTCAATGCCTTTTGTTTTTAGATATGACATTTTTATCTTTCTTGAAAAGTGTTAATTTTCAAACTAGTTTTCTCTAATTTTGAAATTGTCGACCCTTTGGTGGGGTGATATCAGGTTACTACCAGCGGATGCGTATGTTGCCTCTCATCGCAATTTTATCGCTCAAGTTTTGCATTGAACTTAAAAATAAATTAAGAAAAAAGAGTCTGATATTTAAAAATTAATTACGCTGTATTATGAATCCCAATTGAATGTGATTTGATGATTTTGTAATGGAAATTGATTCATTTTTTTAAAATAAGGAAAGTGCTGTTGTATGATGCCGGCCATATTGTGGTTTCGCTAACGACAATCTGAAATCCGTTAGTTTTGGATATCTGACCGTTTTAGTTTTAAAAACAATTAATTCAAATTTTAGCGTTCAAATTGAAATCCAAAAGCATTGTTGGAATCCATAAGGTTGCATTCATTTTGCAGTTTTTTTCATACATTTTATGTAGTAGCAGTTTTCATGTTCACTAATCTATTTGAAACACTGGTGGTGCCTTACAAGCTAATTTTTTCTTAAAAATTAAGCTCTTATGAAACTAAATGGTTCTGTTAAACGGGTGTCTGCTCTATTTTTTTTTCGGTTTCGTTACCATTTCGTTAGTTTTCTTGTGTTGTTAATCATTCTTGTGATTGGCAGGAGTGTTGTAACCGGATACTAGAGTTTTTTCAGTAAATAGTTTGTCCACAAGATTGCACACAGAAAATGTGACACGTGTTTCAACTTACTTCATAATAAATACAAGTTCAACCAGCCATTCAGCGCATCTGGCGTAGAGGTAAGATATAGCTTTAGACAAAGGCTTGTGGGTCGAATCCGGCCGAGACCTGTTTTTTCGCAAACTAGGAATTGTTTGATTTTCGGACTATCGTCCATCTGCGTAAACGTCGATGAACGTAGTTCAGACTCTGAAATAAGTCGCAATGATTTTTTTTCAGGACAAATTTTGCATTTGTTCTCGCTCATTTTTTTCGCGGTTAGATTTTGATTTCTTTTTGAATCAGTTCATTTCCTTTGAAATGCGAAAGTGTAAAGAACATGGAAAATCTGATTAACTTCTGATATCGAAAATGAATTTTGATTATCAGATTTATTGGGTTAATTTTTTCAAAAAATTACGTCAATCATGAATTGTTCTAGAAAATCAAACAGCTTTAAGACCATCTTTTTTCCTCGGAAATTTGAAAGATGAGGTTTTTTTCAAAAAACTAGTTTGTGTTTTTTTTTCTGTTTACTTGCGTTTACTTGCACTAGCGATCAGCGTTGTGTATTAGTATGAACCTTTTTTTAAACCTAACTCGCAAATAAAAGTGTTCATTGAATGTGGCAAGAATTCACTCATTTGGTAGCGCTTTTGATATAATCACGATCTAGCATTGGAAATTTCATAGATCTGTTCTCTGCTTTATTTGTAGCTTATGATGTATTAAGCGTGTGGGGCTCGTTGATTAGTGCGTGAGACTCATATTTTCTAGGTCGCAAAGTGAATTCGAGACCTAGTAGAATTTTTACTAGTTTATTGTAGGCTTCTTATTTTATTGAGCTTTATCAAAAAATTTTCTCGAGGCGTCTACAATTGGACCGTTTTTTACAGTTGCAGTTTCCCGAGGGCTACGAAGTTCTGCTTCGGTCTGGAAGTAAATATACTGCATCGAACTGAAAGATAATTGTGCAGCTATTTTGCTTTCGAATCCCTGAATCTGAAAAAGAAAGCGTGATGCTGATTTTTGTTTCAACACAAGTAAGCTGTCCACTTTTGGCTCCCCTGCAATTAATAAATATATATTTATTTTTAAAACTTTTCACTTTATTTTTCAGATCACTTTGTGTGGTCTATTTTGATTGGCTCTGATTGACTGAGTGTGAACGAAAAAAAAGATGCCGAGTGGTAACGAAGAGTTCGAGCGATTGAAGCGGGAGGCGATGGTGAGTGGGAACAAGGGCGCCAACAGCGACCTCCCCTCAGTCTTCATTCCAAACACGGTGTTCGCTTTCTTAGGGGGAGTGATAGCTGCCTACTACATGTTCAGGGGCTTCAAGGCACTCCTTAATCTCGTCAAGGTCGGTAAATTAGCGAAATCTTCTCAATTTTATACGACGCATTGAGGTCAAAGCGAGGTTTAATAATGGATAAAAACTTCAAGGTTCAAAATCTTCTATGTTAATAATAATGGATAGACATTTGGTCACAGTTTGGATGATGAGTTTAAAAAGGACCTGTTTCGTCTAAAAATTAATGCTTAATGCTCTTGCCAAAATGAAGACAAAATATGCAGTTTGGGGTTGATCAGTATGTCAAATACATTGAAGCATTATCTCAATTGTCTGTCTTTCGAATAGGTGTTCTGCTTCGGTCGAGGAGCTGCAGGAACAGTTGACTTCAAGAAACTAGGCAAGTGGGCAGTAGTCACTGGCGCCACAGATGGAATAGGCAAGGCATATGCGGAGGAACTCGCAGATGAGGGCATGAATGTATTTCTGATGAGTAGAACTCAGTCTAAACTAGACGAAGTGGCCACGGAGATTGAGAAGGAGAATAATGGAGTGGAGACTAAGACGTTGGCTGTCGACTTCTCCAAGTACTTGATATATATATATTTTTATTTTTTTAGTATGCGTGTTAAAAATATCGGATCTTTGTAACTATTTCCCCCCTGTGGTACCTAGTAACGAATCTCCTCCCTGAAAAGAAAGAGTTCAACGGTTAAGCATATGAGATTTTGAACCTAGTAACAAATCTACCCTTAAAAAGGGGAAATAGAGATCCAAAAAATATAAGCAGTTAGTGGCAGGTGCTCCTATCCCGCAGTTAATTAGTCTGACCACTTGTAGAGTGGGAAGGAGCTATGGCGTAAGGTGGTTTTTCCCCGTGCAAATTTATCTTCACAAAGTCAAGTGTAGTTTCATATTAAAAGTATTCACAATCGTAGCTTGGAATTCAAAAAAAATCTGAAATTTTTAGTGTTGGGAAAAACTGGTTTGAGTCAGGCGAAATGACTCAATCTCTTTTCAGGCGAGACTGAACTACCAATTCATTTCTATTATAGATTTTACAGTATTTCAATACTCTTAGCCAAAACAAAATTTAAAAAATGAAAAATTTCTTTTGAATATATAAACTGAAACCATTAGGGTTCCAAACACAAGACGTATTGCAATTAACTTTTTTTTCGTTTCTTAACACTTTTTTTTTAATGTCATTGGCTAAGTTTATCAGTTTACGCATAGCGATGTGTTCAGAATTTTTTGGAAACCGTGTCTAAGATCTAAGATGTCTAGAACGTTTTTTAACTAGAAGTGACTTGGTCAACGAGGACATTATATTAAGTATAGGCGAGTCACAGAAGCTATCTATATTTTTGTATTAACATGACGAATATTTACAGAACTGACATCTACGACCAAATCAGGGACGCCTTGAAGGACCTGGACATCGGAGTGCTGGTCAACAATGTCGGCATGTCTTACACTCATGCGGATGATTACGTAATGGTGCCAGAGGACAAGCATGTCGACATTCTCAACATCAACTGTATGTCGGTAAGTAAGACCTGCCAATTATACAAGTCTTGTCAAAGATGCAATGCTATTATCTTGGCTGAATATAAAATTGGACAATTGAATTTCGGTAATGTTGATAATCTGGTGATATATTACAATAGGTGGTTATCTTAATTATTGTGCATGTATTAAAAGTGAGAACTATAATGCATAGTATTGTAATTTCATGTTCAATCATTTGTACATGCTGCTAAGATAGTTTTTGTAAATACGATACATTACTCTACCAGATGTTATTCAAAAACTTCAAAATTTTGCACTTCTTTTCCTCTTTTAATTTTTTAAAGTTTTGCTCTGAAATGAAAAAATGTCTTTCTTTAAGAAGCAGATGTATTTGCATTCCTAATTATTGAATGCTTTGGAAACTACTTAACCATATGCTAGAGAAAACAAAGTTAATGCAGTGCCAGATATTTATGTGATAAGATTGGAATTTTTTGCAAGCCAACTGATTATAAGTAGTTTTTGGTACTAAAAACATTCTTTATTTTGAACAGGTCGTTTTTATTTTTGTGCAGGTTGTAAGGATGATGTCGATTGTGATGCCTGGCATGATGGAGCGGAAGAGGGGGGCTATTATCAATATCAGTTCGGCCAGTGGCATCCGACCCACTCCCCTGTTGTCCAGTTATGGGGCCACCAAGGCCTTTGTGGACAGTATCAGTAAGGCAGTGTCCACAGAGGTCAGTTTAACTCTCTTTTAAGTGTTGATGAATAAAGTGACTTTTCATCTATTTGATCATCTATTTATTTATACACTCTTCTTTTACTCAAGAGTGTTGAACTGTACAGTTAATTGAAATAGTTTTGTTTGAAAAGGTAAGATTTCAGTTGTTTTCGAAATGAAGTGAGGTTATCAGTGCTTCGAAGGGTATAGGAAGCTGGTTTCACATTAACTGAAAGCTGGTGTTTCGAAGTCTTTATAGTGGTTGAAACTGATTGTGAAGATGTTATTGTTGGAAGTGTTTTGCGGATCTTCGAGATGTTTCTAAATGCCTAGGTTTGCACGCTTTTTTAGAATTAAAAAAATTGTTTGTACCTAAAATTAAATTGAAATAAAAGAAAGTACACAACAATTATGAAGTCTTATGTCTTTGCTCGCTCGGCGTACATAGATGTGCATTAAAGGTTTCAAATCTTGAATATTTCTTTTGAGATGAACGATTAGAAAATGTTAGGCTATACAACGATTCATTTCAGGTTATCTATTCGAAAAACCCCAACGTGATCGTCCAAAGTGTCACGCCTTTCTTCGTCAAAACCAAACTAGCAGGCATCAAACGCAGTTCCTTTTTTGTCCCAGAGCCGAACTACTTCGCCCAAAGTGCCTTGAACACAGTCGGAGTATTCGACCACACCTATGGATGTCTCTCACATGAACTGCAAGGAGCAGTAGTCTCGATTGTTCCGGACTTCATCTTCCGACTTATGGCCTATCGACAACTCCACGCGGCCAAAATGAAGTTTCTAAAGAAGAATAAGAAGTCGAATTAAATTGGAAGGAAAATCGTTTTTTGAAAGAGTGAAAAGCGTGTAAACGAAAGCTTTCTAAAGAATATGTAATCAGATTGGTATGCGTGAAAAGCTAATCTTCGTTTGATTTTCCAGTGTGAAATTTTTACTACCTCGAAATATTAGTGATTCGTCGGAAGTACTGCTTACTGTTTAATAAAAACTAAATTACGTGAAATTTTGGATGTCTGAGTTTGAATATATACTTTAATGATTATATTACCTGATGAGCGGTGATTCGTTCCTTCAAAATATCGACCATTCCTCCTGAAGGTATCTTGATTTTAATCAGTTGTTTCCTTTATAATATATCACAATTCTACCCCTGTCTGTAATTGGCTTACAAAATTAAAAGAGTTTATATTGTTACGTTTTACCCAGTTTTAAGACCAGGATTGAGGTTCAGATGCACAGCACTTGTATGGATTAAAATTCACTGAATCATTTTTTCAACAGACGTATCTGGTCAACGGTTTTAATTTGAGCATGTCTGTATTCTAAATTCACGTTCTATTTACACGATCGTAGTGTGGTGATATAGTAAGTAAGTCGCAAATATTTTCGTTTTGCTTGTTTGGCTTCATTTAATCTTGTATTAACTCAATCGCCTCACTTTGCGCCGTTGGCAGAGCGATAATAATTTTTCGTTAGTGTGTATGCAGGAAGTATGTGGAACTCTAGTTTTGAGTTTTTCTGTAGCTCAAAATGTGTGAAAACAAAACAAGTTTCGACTCCACGGGCGTCCACTCAAGTTTTGAGGCGTAGTTACCGGTTTCTTTCAATGATAATTTACTACTGTATTTGGTCTTCTCGACGTGTTTTCCTCCAAATCATTTGAGACAAGCGTATGGAAGTTTTGGTAAACATAGTTTTTGATTTTCTATCTGAAATTGTTTCGACTGAAGGCTGTCGTCTTATTTTTCTGTCGGCTGGCTTGCCATTTTTGTTTGTGATAAATCGCAAATGGTGCAAAGATTCGCTTCTTTTCTGTGTTATTTGCAGATTTAATTACAAAGCAAATGATTTTTTTCTATACTGTTCACTTTTTCCAAGCATATTTTGTATTGAATTTTGGTCCATAATTGCATCGGTGTGTTAGTAGCTTATATACCATCCTTTTTAGTTGAGTGGAATTTATTTCGACAAGGATTTTTACTATTATAGGATGCGTTAATTGCATAAGATAGCAAGGCGGGCGAAATCAAATTTTTCAATTTTTTGCATGTGCGCTTTTTTGAGTCTTTCACTGAAACCTTATTTTTACATTTGCGAGGGCATTACGCTTGTAATCGGGAACTAGATTTTTTCCCGAAAACAACTTTTACAAATTAAAAAATTTGACCTTTTTTGTAATTTAACCTAATCGGTACACTTGCGAGAATCTTCCTTTTGTAATCGGAAACCAGAATTTTTCCCCCGTAATCAACTTTTCTTACAAATCTGATTATGCTTTTTAGTTTCACTTTTCAATTGAACCTCAACTTCTATGTGCCTTCCATTTTGGCTTAGACGTAACGCGGTTGACTTAGCACTCTATGGTCTGGACCTTGAGTCTGGGTTTGACCATTTTTTTCAGTGTTTATGAAATTAATTTTTTTTTGGGGGGGGGGGGAAATCGAATTGTCGAACTTTCGTTTGTCTGCGTTTGTTTTAACCGCTTAATTTCCAAAGCATGGTAGTTTTTTATCTGAACCATTTTTACTACAATTGATAATCCTTCAGTTACTTTCAAATGTCTTGAAAATAATTATTTCTCTTTTATAGGTCTTGATGATTTTTTGTTAGTTTTTTCAGGAAAATTAATAAAGTTTTGTTCACACCCAAATTTAATTTTTCGCGATTTAACTTTTGATTTCTTTTTAAGTTAGTTCGATTTCCTTCGTTGAAAGGAAAGCAAAGTCAGCTATTGAACAGCAAAGGTATGAAAGTCACAAAAAACTTGATCGACTTCTAGTTTCGATAGTGGGTTTTCTATATTTCAATTTTCCCAGCGGAATAGAAACTCTACCCCTTGATCCGGGACCCAGAAAGAACACGAGCGATCACCTCCATGTGGTGGGTCCCGGGCCACGTATACGTCACTAAATGACCGGAGTCTAGGACCGAGGTCTGTATACGGCTAACGATTGCTCTCGTAATCCCGCAACCAATAGTGCTTGAAGACTAACGGTTCGATCCTTCGGGCGGTATGTTGACATTCTTCCATGACGTTGCACGGTTGACGGTAGTTGACCAGCTGTCAGATCGGTCTTGGAAGGCACTGGTTTTCATACTTCGGTATTTATACCTAAGTATGTTTAAAGCAACCCCAGTTTCTGTCTGAACAGACCACATGGGGCTGACTGTATTATACATTCAGTCCGACCGTTTAAAAAGCTCATTGTTAATATCCCAATAAAAATTTGTTTTTCTGAAGTTGCCGCACGAGGGTGACACACAAGGCATGTTATGCCCTGTGCTAAATGATGTCATTTACAGTGCACTATGCCCGAAGGATGGTTTGGACTCGTAAAGTCGGTGGTTAGGCAACTTGCCACCCTTTTGAGAGTCAAATCCTGGTGTTTCAGACCCCCTCAGTAAAGGTCTGGAAGACTAGACTCTGGTGCAATTCATGCTTTGCACTAGGCTGAGAACCCCTTGATCCAGTTTTTTCAATTTGGGTTAATTTTAACCAAGTGTCAGTCATAAGTTTTTTTTTGAAAATCAAAGCACTCGAAGGCCATTAATTGTTTAGTTTGATTGTTAAAAGTTGCAGTTTTTTGGAAAACCAGTCATTTTTTGGTTCTTGCGTTCTTTGACTCTTTTCCAACTGTCTGTTGTCTATGTTGTCAATTTACTAGCTCGGTTTGTGAATCAATTTTTTTTTGGTTAAAATGGTGTTCGTTTATGCTTTATCAGCTATATTTTTAGTTACTCAGGACGTGTTTATTGTTGTCAGTTTAACATTAGAAAATTTAATCTCTCAAAATATTGCTCAAAGTTTATGTCAACAATTTCTTACAGCGTTTATTCTTTTTGGCTCAGTGGTTTCCTACACAAGTATTGTTGTCTTAGTGGCCGCTTGTTAAATGTCATTACGAGCTTGTTTAATGCTGGTGGTTTTATTTACCGTTTTTTTTAAGTTAATTTTTCATTCCATTTTTTGTCTGATTTGTTGTTTTCGACTTAGTGATTTTCGTCTCATTTTTTTGCTAGCATGCAAGGCTATGATTGAGTAGTATCGCAAATAATGAAAAGCTCCGTGTCGGCGCTCAGTTTTCAGTTAAGCTGCAAATTCATTATATATAGTTGATGTGGTAACTACACAAAACAACAAGGGTAGCGGGATCAAATTTTTCAGTTTTTCTTTTTTGTTTTTGTTTTATAAAGCTCTTATAAAGAAAAAACACATATGGAAACCTTCTGCGATTTTAAATTTAATTTCACTTTTTTTTTTATTTTAACCGGTTATATTCGAAAATTAGTTTTTGAACAAGCGAAGCATCATTTCGCTAACACAAGCAACAAACTTCGTGATGCTTCGTTTCTGTTCAAAAAATGATTTGGATTATAACCGGTGAAAAAAAAATCTTGAAAAGAAATTTTTAAAAAGTAGGAGGGGTTCATATGTGTTTTTTCTTATTACCCTTGCGATTTTTTTTTCACGTAAATAACTTAAGGCTCAAAATTAGAAATGGTGAATAGGCTCAGTTCTTAATTAATTCTAATTTCTTTGTGTCTCTGGCACACTTGGTCTGGACGTAACGAATACGCCTGGGATGTCAAAGTTCCTGGGTTCGAATCTGACAGGACCTGTTTGTTTTTCAAAAACGGGAAATGTTCCGTTTCACAAAAAAATGTCGGCTCATTATTTGTCTGCTGATGTTTTGTCGTCTTAGTTGTCATATTGTTGAATTATTGTTTTGCTAGTTTCAACATTATAGTTGCTTATATTGTTCTCGTTTACCTCCGATATTCGCAATTTTACTAGCCTTGACTTTTGCGTTTTTTTTATTTCGCTCAAAAACTTTATTCTGTCCGAATGATTTTGGCCTACTTTTTATCGGATTAGTGGCCTAACTTCGATTCATTTCAATGGAAACAAATATCTTATGCGCACCTCTGGATCGCACAAAATGCAATACCTTAATAAAAATTCTAGTTCAAGATTTTCATGACAACAACTTTTTAAGTTTTTACTTTTCTTTCGGCTGGATAGGTATTGGCCTATATTATATGGTTTTATTGGCCATATTGCGTCTTGCGACCAGCGAAAAAAAATGTTGTGTGCATGTCTGTGTTTTGAGGTTCAAGGGGGGGCGTAAGAACTTAACTATTGTTGATTTTTTCTTCGGCTTAAAGGGTTCCTGCCAAGGTATTTTTCAGCTTTGTTACTGTTTGGTAAGTTTTTTCCGATGCTAATTTCACATTCCATTGTCTTGGATGTTTTTTCTTTGTGTGAAAACTTAACCGGTTTTGATCGATCTAGTTTTTTCGACATGTTCGAAATTTTTTTACTAAGCGGCTTTCTTGTTTTGCATTGCAAATGGTGCGGAGCTCAGCTTCGCCTTTGTTATTTTCTTCTTATTATAAGTGGTCTTGTACTTACCAATTTTTGAATGTACGTAGTATTTAAGTGTTACGGAACGTTATTTTTAAGGTAGTTTTTTTTCATAAAATCTATTATATGTTTAAATGCAGGCTTCGCTATCTCGCCATGTTTAAGCTTTTTCAACGTATTATTTTTTGCATGTTAAAGATATATCGTATATTGTAATGGTTAAAATTTTTTTTCGAGTTTGAATTCAGAGTTTATTTCACCAAGTTTGAAATTAGCGACCCAATATTGGGATGCTGTTAGGGCTTCCCCAAGTGTTGCGATTTTGGCCTCCACATATGAATAACCAAATCCTTGAGTTAACGAGATACGGCAATTATCGAGGTTTTTCAAAAATCACTAGTAACCTTAAATTTTGAAAATTTTACAAAATTTGAAATTCTCATCACTGTAATTGGCTGTTGCCAGGGTACTCTGAGGGGTTGTGAATCTTGCCTCAGAATCTCAGTTCTCAAATCTTTGTAGTTTTCGAGATATGACGTTTTTAATGATTTTTTCAAAAATTTTCAAAAAACTTAGATTTAAAAAAAATTCAAAAACTTTGAAAATCTCAATCCTGTAGTTGGAAACTGTGAGGGTAATCACATGGTTGCTAATCTTGTCTCTATATATGACTTCTCAAATCCTTTTAGTATCGAGATATGACGTATTTTAGAATTTTTTCAAAAAATTTTCCAAAAACTTACATTTAAAAATTAAAGAAGTTGAAGATCTCATTTCTATAGTGTAAAACTGCGAGGGCACTCTGAGGGATTGCGAAACTTGCCTCCAAATATGACTGCTCAACTTTTTGTAGTTTTCGAGATATGACGTTTTTTGTGACTTTTTTGAAAAAACTTTCACAAAAGTTAAATTTAGTTTTTCTAAATTTGAAATTCTCATTTTTGTAGTGGGGGCTGTCAGAATACTCTCTGAGAGTGCTCTCATGGATTGCCAATCTTGCCTCCAAATATGACTGCTCAAATCGTTGTAGTTTTTAAGATATGATTTGTATTATGTTTAATTTTTTCAGAAAACTTAAATTTTAAAAACTTCAACAATTTAATATAAATATAAATAATTTTGAAAAAGTATTGAAATTCTCAACCTTGTAGTTGGGTACTGTTAGGGTATTCTCAGGAGTTTCATGTTGAAAATTTTGCATCCGATTGCGACTGCCCAAATGCTTTTAGTTTCCGAGATGTGACGTTTGTAATGTCTTTTTTTTTAAATGACTTAGATCTAAAAATTAGTTCCTATCTCTATATTGAGGCTTTGTCAGGGCACTCCTAGGTGTTGCGAGTTTTTTTCTGCAACTATGAGTGCTAAAATCCTGTTAGTTTTCGAGATATGACGTTTTTTGTGTTTTTCTTTTCAACAAAGTTTTCAGAAATTTAAATTTAATTTTTCTTCTTCAAAGTTTGGAATTCCTAGTCTTATGTTAGGGGTTGTAAGAGTACTCTCAGGGGTTGCAATTTTTGCCTCCAAATATGAGTGCTCAAGTTTTTGTAGTTCTGCAGATATGTCACTTTCTTTTAGAAAAAATAGAGAATTTCAATTTCGAGATATGACATTTTTTGTGTTTTTCTTTTCAAAAAAGTTTTCAGAAATTCAAATTTAATTTTTCTTCTTCAAAGTTTGGAATTCCTAGTCTTATGTTAGGGGTTGTAAGAGTACTCTCAGGGGTTGCAATTTTTGCCTCTAAATATGAGTGCTCAAGTTTTTGTAGTTCTGCAGATATGTCACTTTTAAAAAAAATAGAGAATTTCAATTTAAGTTCTTCAAAATTTGAAGTTCCCAACCCTGTAGTTGGGTGCTGTGAGTACTCTCAGAAGTTGCAAATCTTGGGTCCAAATGCGACTGCTCCATTGCTTTAAGTTTCCGAGAAATGGCGTTTTTCTGTCATTTTATAAATTTTCATATAAAAAAATTCAAAATTTTAAGGTTTTTCAAATTTTGAATTAAGAAAACTTGATTAACTTTACAAAATTTGAAATTACCAAGCCTGTATTTGGGTGCTGTCAGAGTAATTTCAAAGGATGCAAATATTATTTCTAATATCTGCGGTTTTGTGAGTTGTCAGAAATTCGAAGCACCGAAGGTGTGTAACGCACCTTTGGCGCTTCGAATTTAAGACAACTCACAAAACCGCTGATATTAGAAATAATATTTGCATCCATTGAATGCAGCTAGTTTGTTTTAAATTGCTACTAGCTCAAAATTTTGTTCTAATATTTTGGAACTTTTGAGTTTATAAGCTCAATTCACATTCTGCTCAAGGAAAAGCAGATTGTTTTCTCCTATTACCAAAGTGTTCATGGCGAAAAGAAACGTGAATGACTTAAGCTTCGAAAGTGAACTTGTTTCCCCGCGGAATAAAACTTTTAATTTATTGATCCTGATCCAGTTTTGTCTAATTTGGCCTATTTCAAGCAAGAAAACTGTCAATCAGAGGAGATTCTTGAAATTCAATGAGCTGAAACTTGGCATAATTTTTTCTGGTGTTTTTTTGTGAAACTCGAAAACTTATAATTAAAAAAAAACGTTCCCCATGGTCTAACGTGTCAGTAATGCTTCAGTTTCCTGATATTTAGTTTAGATGTTGTTTTAAGATTTAAATGATGAGGTGCCCTGTGCATAAAGATTCATTCATGCGACCGAGAAAATTACTTTTGGTTTCAGTCGATGAAAGAATATTGCCTTCTTTTTGTTACTGTTTTCTCAAGATTGGTTTCATAAGTTTTTCGATCAGGCGAAGCCGAGTAAAAATTCAAAACTATCATTCCGAAGTCGTTGTTTTGCATTTGATTTTTCTCTGGGTTGCTCGGTTCTTCAGTGTATGGGAACTAACTTGAGAGCGTTTTAGCAGTTAGTACTGCAGATTATGGAGATTGAATTAAACTCAGTAGGCTGTGTCCGCCCCCACCCGGTAACCCTGGCTAGGAAGGGGAAACCCATTTTCAGCCCTGAAACTTGTCCGGTTTTTCCGTTCCGGTTTTCATTTCCCGTATTACGCCTAGCGGAAGACTGAGGAAAGATTGACTTTTGTTAGATGTTCAGTCCTTACTTCTTGTACCTTGGGACAAGAAAGAAGAAAGAGGCGATCAACCAACTTAGCCACGGCGGGACAGAAGTGAGTGCAATTGGTTGATAGGCTTAAATTCATTTTGTTTTTGAACTGACTTTGGTAATAGAATCAATCAACAATTTTCTTTAGCTAGGACTAACAGTTGCGTTGATGGATAAATTTCTCTCTTTAAAAATTTCGGGAAGTTGCACTTATGCGGTTACAGTGGATAAGCGCATGACATTCTAGTCCTGTTACCCTGCTGTCCTGGTATGGTTTTATGCTATTCGATACCAATAGAGGGCTGAAGAGTTGTTTTAGTGGTGGTTATATATTTTTGTTGCTGGGCGTTTCTGTTGGGGGGGGGGGGGGGGCGTTTTGACTGTCAAATGACGTGGAAAGCTTTACTGGATCATAGATTGGTAATGAAGGTCATTTCTCCTTTGCCTCTTTGAAGGTTCAGTACTGGGAAGCCACATGAAATCCAGGAAGCTTTTTGTTTTTGCTTGCTTCTTTAGAAGGGTTTCTTGTATGGATGCAGTTTCTATGTGCGCCCGGCAATGACTACCTTTTCCGTCTTCCGTCTGTAAAGTTGCGGTCTCCGTTTTTGGAGTTGTGCAATTTATAGAGGTGCGCCCAACCACCAAGGAGCACCGGACACTGAAGTCTTTGTTGAACCCCATATCACATTTCGTTGGTCCGGGGTAGATTGAATTCCTCAACCTACCCCGGACCTCATGCTTAGTGGTATTGTGAATAAACTTAAGCATATAAGGTGATGAGCAGTATGGCTGTTCATGAAAGCCCGTGGCACCGATCGAAGCTTTCGTCATGAGGTTTCAAGGATCTTGGGCCCATTCTTGACAGTTGGGCGTGGTTCTCCCGCTAAGAGCCGTACCTCTTCGAAATCTGGTTTGAAACTCGATTAAGGGGCTTTCCTCTTAGTCAGTAATTGTCTTAAATAACAACATTGAGTTGAGTTTGTGGAATCGAAGTTGTCATCTTGAACGTAAGATGTGAGCTAGTTTCTCTTTAAGAGGTTCAGATCCTTCAGCCCAAGGTTTTGGCGTCAGTCTGCTAAGTGCAACTTTGTGTAATGAACAAAGTGATTTATTATTCATTTGGATAATCTAGATTTTTTTCAACGTACAGTTTGAATAGATTTTATGATTTTTCTTGAACTGAAAGGTTTCCTTATTTGTATTAGAGCTACCACAGTATGTTAAGTGCACTTGATTAAATTGTTTTAAACTTTGTTTTGAATAATTTGGACTTCAGATTAAGAATGCCGAAGTTGGACGATTTGGCGATCAATCTGAAGATGCTGACGAAGACTCTTGAGAGAGAGGCTAAACGAAGCAAACAGTCACAGACACAACAGAGAAGTCAGTCGTTGCAGTATTCTTTCCTTTCACTCAATCAAATCAAAATCTCTTCTAAACAGTCAGTGACTGTTATAACAATTGCATATCACTTTAAGAAAGGAATGTACATGAAACGCGGCGTTTCTTTCCTATAAGTCTGTTTGTGGTCTTGAAATTGTTTGGCCTAACTTTTCCGGACAACCTAAATTTCTGGGACCTGAATCGACCAATTTTTTTTACCTGAATCGACCTGAAAATTTGAAAAAGCGAAAAGGAACCACTGTGCCGAAAATATTTGTTTCATATTTTTGTAGAGAAAGTGACAAAAAGTAAAAGCAAAGAAAATAACCCAAACTGCACAAGGCTTTTTAAAAATTACTTTTGCTTGATTTTGGAAAATCAGAAGGAAAACCCATGAAGTTTTATGGAGTCGAAATGTCTAAACGTTTTTCTGGTGTTTTTTTTTCCAGAAATGGCTAGAGAGCCCGAATCGTCAAATACCATTTTTTGAGCCGATGAAAGTTTTTCCATTTCCAAATTTTATAAGTGAATTTATATTTTTTTTCATAGTTTATTGTAACAAAATACCTTTTTTGCTTTCATTTCTTCGTTTGATTTTTTTTCTTTCCATTGTTGGAAATTTTGCAGAATTATCGTTTGTTTTTTTTTGTTTTTTAAAATTGGGAAAATGCGTGTTCTTTTCCACTTTTGTGATTTTCTTATTTGCTCGTTTAGGTAAATTAAAGAAAGCAATTGAGCAAAACAACATGGAAGGGGCGAAAATCTACGCTGAGAATGCGATCAGGAACAAGAATGAGGAGCTGAATTACCTCAAACTGGCATCCAGGATAGACGCGGTGGCCGCTAGAGTTAACTCAGCCGCCAAAATGGGAGCACTCACTAAAAATATGTCTGGAGTGACAAAGGCTCTGGACAGCTGCATGAAACAGTTCAGTCTCGACAAGGTTATTATTATTTATTGATATTTTCAAAAATTCGAACAAGTTTTAAAGGACTATTTGAGTTTTTGGTTCTGTGTGAGATTTGTATGGCTACGGTAATTTTTGTCTGCTAAAAATTTTGTCTGCAAAGATTTGAACTACGACTGACTGACACCCTATCGCCGAGTGCACGAAGGTTATGGCGATATTAAAGAAAATATAAAAAAATCATAACTTTTTGAAATTTCTTGATTTGAACAAACAGTTTATGATTATTTTTGGGTTACATGTCATTTTGCCCCAAGTCAACTTGTCCCAGCCCAACTTGTCCGATTCCAACTTGCCCCAGATGACAACTTGTCCAATGCCATCTTGTCCCATAAAATAAACAATGAAACTTGCCCCATTTCTTTGATATCCTCGTAGAACATAATGTCGGCATAAAGATGAAAGACTTTTTTGTTGAACAATTAAGCTTGAAACAAAATGCGGAATCATTTAAACATGCGCTGAATCAAAATGAGTTCAAACAAAATGAACAAAATGAAAGCGGCAAAATTTCAATGCAATTTTCATGTCGAGTTAAATATTTCAAAAGATTGATTGCTGATTTTGTAAGCTTCTATAGCAAAGTTAATAGTGCACAACACTCTTAATCAAGAAGTCAAGAGTTCAAAACTTGAAGAAGTCAAAAAATTTTAGTATGAAATCAATGAAATGGAAAACCGCAGGTACTGCCTCGCCCCTTAAACCCCCCTATACTTGGTAACCCAGAATAGGGGGCGGGGTGAGGGAAAGAGCAAAATTATTGCAGTATTGGCCTTTATCATCTCTCAAAATTTGGAACCTGTACGATGGCTATAAGTTAAAAAGTGGTGATTTTTTAAAAATCAATTAAAAATGCAACAAAATGCCGACAATTGAGTGGAAATTATGCCGACAATTTAAAAATTACGAAAGAGTTAAATGAGCTAGTGCATATAAATAGTCAACAACATGGTCTTTGTTGAAGTTAGTAACAATCGTGGGAGAGCGTCATTGAGGAGATTGAGCATGTGGTGGACAGATTAGATCTTGAGCAAAGCCTGTCAGATAAAATTGACGAACTTGCCTCATACTTTCAGAGAAGTTATATAAAGGGCGAAACAATAGGGCGAAACAGTAGGCAACCGTTATTCCCTATGAGTCTCTGGAACCATTCCCAAGAAGCAGCGGAAGGCTTGATACGAACGACAAACGCCGTTGAAGGTTGGCATCTTGAAGTGACAGCATTATTTCAAGGGAGCCACCCAAGCCTCTACACTTTCTTGAATAAGATTCAAATGAACTCAGCAAACCAGAAGTTCAACATTTTGAAGGCTATGGTGGGAACACAGAATCAAGGGCGGAAGAAATATTGGGACATTCATGAAAAAATCAAAAACATTTCTAGTAATTTTATCTGACAGGCTTTGCTCAAGATCTAATCTGTCCACCACATGCTCAATCTCCTCAATGACGCTCTCCCACGGTTGTTCCACTAAATCAGTTGGAACAAAACTGAGAGCGGGTATTAAACGCAGTGCCAAGCTTAGCTCGCAGTTATTTTCATAGGCTTTCTTTAAGCCTAGCTCGTTACTTTTGCGTAAAAAGGCCTGGCAGAGGTGAAAGTAACAGCTTTTGATTGAAGACTCTGGAAACGCACTCGATGGTTGCGCGTTATCAGAGACAGAGGTGATGGCTTTCAGGAATTTTGATTACGTCTGTTCAGTTTTGTTTGACAGTAGAGCATAAAGGCATGGTGGGTAAAATCCACCGATTTGAATATGAATGGTATTAAGCTGGTAAAATTGCATTGGGCAAATTTTGAATGTACCGTCGCAAAGCCAAAGAGAATTGTGAACTCGGAGGGCATGAACATTATCTCGATCACCGAAAATCAAAATTCGCTCTGGATCCATAACGCCACTGTCGAATAAACAGAAATCAGAATATTCCATCGGAATTATGAAATGCCTGTCTTTAATGATTGGCATGGACGGGACCAAGTTCTGTGTCTGGCGGTTAAGAGTTCTGTTTATTGCTGCACGACTGGGCAAGGATAATTGAACAGCTTTCTCATCAGTTACTTCCTGGAGACAAGTGGCAATTATACTACTATTAACAGGTACAATTTGCTGCCTGGCATCTTTTTTCATTTGATGCATGATCTGGTTTGCCTCAATTTTCCCAGGTCTAACATCGTGGCTGTGCTTATTTTTTGTCAGTGCTCAGTAGTTTTTGTCGTCTGCTTTTTTTGTGAAATCGTGTCAGTCAATAATTAGCGTTCGTTTGTTTCGTTGAGATATTCCCCACGTAAGTTGACTCATAGTATTTATGTTGAAGTATTTAAGTGGATGTTTAAGAACGAAATGGTAAACAATGAAGCAAAATGAAAGAATAGCCGTGTTTCATTTTGTTTCAAAGGCGCTAATTGTGGATTATTGTCAAAGTTTGGCGTGTAATTACCAAAAATTATGGTTTTTTAGGCTCAGCTTCGAATATTTTCGATTAGAGTCTTTTGTTATCTCGAAACGAGTCCAGTGTACATTAGCACTTGCTGGTCCTCAATTTGAACATCAATGAATCAAGTAAAAGTGTTAAGTATGGGATAAAACGGCATAGGACAAAATGTCATGTGGGGCAAGTTGGCATAGGCTAAGTTGCCATGTAGGGCAAGTTAGTATAGGACAAGTTGGCATAGGGCCAATTGACTTGGGGCAAATAGTCCTGACACCTATTTTTGCAATAGTGATTAGTTGCAACTTAGAACAGCATTAGACTGGTAGAGTTTCAAATTTAATCAGAAAGAAAGATAACAGAAAGATAAGCCATGAAACTTGAGTAGTTTCCAATAAAGTTTTTTTTTGAAGTTTTTTAGCGCCATTTTTTGGAATAAAAAACTTCAAAAATTGAAAACAAATAATTTGAAAATTTTTCAATTTTGACTTTTTCTCGGATTTTTCGACAAAAACCGTTGCAGTATTAACCTATTTTTTGTGACCGTCGAATATGCCTAAATTTTAGGTTTTCGTCACATCCTTTCACCACACCACGATCAAAACACAACAGTAAAGTGGAAAAATGTCATGAAAAATCCTTTTTATGTATTGTTTAAGAATATGGACGGAACGTTGTGCTACTTGCACAGCAACCGGCGATTCTTGTTTATTACTTGATAGATTTGTAACATAGTGGTATCCGGAATCGATATCCGGTTATCCGGCAAACTTCTGGTTCCGGCACGGATATCCGGTATCCGGTGAAATTGCACCGGATACTGACCGCCTTTTTTGCCAAAAAAAAATTTCAAAAAACACTGATTTCAAAATTAGAGTATAACATGATTCAATTAAAATTTAGAAAATTATCATGTACAAGTACCAGTTTTTCACATAAATATGGCTTCAGAGGGTTTCTCCGTTGTGTAAGAATATTCTAGCAAAATCATACGCAATCTAAGCTTATTACATACATGTACATCGAGCTCAATCAATAATTTGATCAATTCTGCAATTATCCGGTGTATCCGGTAAGTTTTATTATCCAGTATTTTCAAAAATGGGTGCCGGGCACATCTCGACTACTGATATTCTACTTAAATTCTACTAGTATATTGTATAATAATTGTATAATCTTTATTACTTGTATAACCTGTTGTGCGCGTGTGCTATTAGGTGCAGAATCTGATGGAGAAGTTTGAGGGTCAGTTTGAGAATTTGGACGTGCAGGCTTCCTCCATGGACCAGGCCATGTCAAACACAGTCACCACCTTCACCCCCGAAGACCAAGTCAGGGGTCTCATGCAGGTATGCCACTGTCTTCATGCCCCTTACATACGTACATTTTACCAGGGGGCACATAATCAAACAGTGCAATTAGTGTACATAATCATAAAGAGTTTTTCAATTCACGCCATTAATTTTTGGACATCATTTAAGCCATTTTCTTCGTTTTTCCTGGGTTTTGCTGGCCGTGTTTAAGTTTGTTTAAGACGGAAACGAATCTACAGTGTTTCAATGAAGTTATCAATAAATTCATTTTTTGTAATGAAATTTGGTTTTAGATCAAGCATCAAGAAAACATAAACACACCTGCTGCTGTGATATTACCAAGGCCAATTTCCTTGTTTTTAACACAAAAAATACTGTTTGCAGGATGTTTTTAGGTGTCAATGAAGGAATTCATTTAGGTCGTGTTTCTTTTTTGAGTTCAGGATCAAATTTGACTTTGCTCTTTTTAAATGGAACTTTTGCTCACATTTACCAATTGTCATGAGAAACTTATATTTAAAATGCAGTCTAGGTTTATGCCACAGCTACTAAGTCAGATCTTACAGATATTATGGAGAAATTGGCAAAAATTTGAATGCATCAGACATCTTAAAGAGATATCTATGCTTTGCAAAATCCATGATTGCATGTGTATGTTTGTATTCAAGCTTGTAGCGAAAAGTTTACCAAAGCAAAGTATGAATTTGATGAAAAAAACCTGGACATAAAACAATCGGAAATTTTTATCGAAGGAAAAAAAATGAATCAAAAGCAAATCAAAGCAAGGTAAATTTCTCGTTGATAGTCAAATCTATTGCTTGTCTTGTGTGGTGCTTGAGGGGGATGTGGTTTTATCGTTTTGAAAATAAAGTGTTTGATTGCTCATGGCGTGCCTGCCGACTGAAGGACTAATTGTCTACTCGGTAGCCTCTCAGTTCGCATTTGTAAAAGTTTTAAGCTCGTCAAAGCTCTGTTTATATCTATAAAATTAGTATAAAATGTCTTTCATTAAAGATTCTGGAAAATATAATATACTTCTTTAACACTCAAAAGTTGAGAAATTTTCAAAACAAGGCAGTCGGTTTTTACGTTCCTTTTAAGTTCACTGACACATCTGTCTGTTGACTATGTTATATCACTTTTTTTTGGCTATAGGAAGTTGCGAGCGAGGCGGGTCTGGAGTTGAACACGCAGATCCAAGTAGCTCCATCGGCTGCATCCGCCCAGAGCGAGGAGCAGGAGGAATTGTCTCGCAGACTGGCAGCACTAAGGGAGACACATCAGTAGTGCCATTGACATCATCAGAATCAAAAGACACCGTCGACAGTCAGAATAAGAGATCGAACAGAAGAATTATCAATCCAGAAGAACTTTTGGTGTAATTTGAACGTTTAGATTTTGCGCAAATTTATTCGAAGTTATCGGTTGCGACAGTTAATTGTACCCTGCGCTGCTTTTTATTTTTCGTTACACTTAAAAAATTCTAATTTACCAAAAAAAATATCCGTATCAAAAAAGTTCGATATGGAATTTACAACCCATTTTTAAATCAAATTTTAGTGAAAACTATGATTTGGTAAATTATGACCTATTTTTGAAAAATTGATTCAATAAAATGTAAGCAAAATTTATGAGGCCTACAGCATGATTGCATCTCTAATTATTTTGCACTGTTTTATGAAGACCAATGTGTAACCTCCGTTTAAGTTCAAACTGTCTCACCCGATATGTACGTGTAAGTTAAGCCTAGATTCTAATATCTCTTTCAATTTTTTCGCAGAATCACGATCCATCTTGGTTTGATAGCAAAATGAACTCCCAATAAGAACTTAGTTGAATCCCGAAATTAAGTGATAAATGTTCAGATTATTTTATTTGTCAGTTTGTTGAATCAGCCATTTTGAGTCTATAAGTTTTTAAGATATTTGCGAGTTCGAATTTGTTACTAAATTTGTCAAATGGAAAGAGGTAATATTGAGAAGATAATATACTAAGTTATTGTCTTGAAATGCTCCGAAGTGAAATGCTCCGAGGTGAATATTGTCATGTTCTAATATCAATAAGCTGAAAGATTTTGCTGTAACAATGGGTAAAGATTTTTCGAAGAAAAAAATGGTTTCATTTTTTTCAATGCGAGAAATCTTTCAAACAGACGGACTGGGTCGAAGATTCTATTTGCTCAATGCTAATTTCATTGTCCATTCTCTATTTTGAGTTTTGTTCCCAGAATTTATTTTAAACCTCATTGCTGTAAATGTTTCCATTCTTTTTTGTTGATAGATAAAATCATAGGTAGAAAAAATAATTTAATTTTTTCATTCAAAGTTTTATACTTATCCACAATCGGAATTTTGCTTGCGTTATTAAGCCAGCATTATCAAATCCGAACTCAGACTTTTCAGGCTAACAAATTGCTGAGCAGAGTCACTGCCTGCGAAGACAAAGCTCCGGGGTTGGAATCCGGTGAGAACGTTTTTTGCTAACTGAAAAGTTTTCAACTGAAAAAGAATTGTCGAACTATCGTTTGTTTGCTTAATTATATCGGCTTAGCTGACGCATTACGGAATTTACATATTATACCTGCCAGAGTGTCTTGTAATCGGGAAGTAGAATGTTTTGCTTGTTAACATTTCTTAAAAATCTATAAGAGATTGAACTTCCTCTTTGGTCTAGAGGTATAGCGGTTGTCTGTGCATCCTAACGTCTGAATTTCGAGTCCAGGTCAGACCTTTTTTGCAGTATAAATTACTTTCCGGGAAAAAATTAAATTGTGGGGCTTTTGTTTGACTGCGTGATTTTGGCTTAATTTTCAAAGCATAGATTTTTTGTTTCTAACAATTATTACTACAACTGACATCCGTTCTGTTATTTTGTCAATAAACCAACTGGGATTTTGAATAGGTTCGGTCGATATTTTTTTGGCTTAGTCAATTTAATGCGTGTTTCATAAAAACGGGTATTATGAAAATGTATGGTATTGGTTTTTTTGATTTAGTTTTTTGAGAAGCTTAGGAAAAATTTTTCGCCTTTTTCAAAAATTTAGTTTTTCTCAAAAAATACTCTGCCGATTTTCTAAAAAAAAGTGGTACCAATTGGAAGTCCGCCCACTCCTCTGTGTGTACGCATACTCCCCAAACCTCTTTTTACCTTGCCCTACTTTTGTACAGCCTTCGAAAAAGCGTATGGGGGGGAATTTTTGACCCATAATTTTGGATTTTTACATTTTCTCAAAAACTACTACCCCAAATCGGAGATTTTGGTTTCAATGGATAGAACAGGTTGTGGAAAGCTCCCCTGAATTAGCAGCTACGCCCATTTTAGTTTTTTACACAAAAAGTTAAGGCCCTTAAAAATTCAATTTAGGCCCAAAATTTTTCACAAAAAGTTATGCTCTCGGAAAAGTCAAATTCACGATTTTTTTTCCTTTCTTTGAAACTTTTCTCAAAAACTACCCTTGCAAATCTGAGGTTTTGATTCCAATGAGTAGAACGGAGTGTGGGAAGCTCCCTTGCTTAAACGGTTAAGACCAATTTGTTTGCACCAAATTTATGACCCTCGGAAAAGTCAATGTTTTCATTTGTTTTCTGTTTTTGAATCTTTTTGACTTCTAGAAAACAACTCAATCTGATATCAAGGGTTTAATACAGGCAACAGGTTGTAAGAAGCTTCCGTGCATAAGATTTACGCTCTAAAGTTTGAACAAATAACATGTTTCTGGGGAAATTCCGAGATCACAAAAATTTTCACTCATTTTATAATAGAGCAACAACTAAGATTTTGGGAGAAAAACAATTCTTAAATTTTGAAATTACCTTCTTCATACTTCATCAGTACAACAAAATCAAAAGTTATCAAACTCCAAACCGGACCCTCAAGTTTTAGCTGGGACTCTAGTTTGTGTCGTTTGAAGGGCAAAAATTGATTCTTATTTTTAGATAGAACTCAGGAAGTTTGTGGTGTAAAACTTAATCGCTTTATGAAATCAAGTTCTTGTGTTTTTTTTTGCTTCGGCTCGAAGGATGTCTGTTCAATTATTATGTTTCATTGTCAGCTCGGTAAATGATACAAAAAGCTAATTTGATGCTGGTGGTTTTTCAGAAATATAATTTTTCATTAAAAAAAAAAGCACATTTTTTTCCGCCGTTAATTTTTTAAGCTTTTTTCCGTCTCATTTTTTATTCGTTAGCTTGCAATGTTTTTTGTTTTATCGCCATTGATGCGAAATTTTGTGTAAGAATTTAACGGAAAATATAGCTTTTGAAGTTTTTATTGAGTGTTTAATTTTAATGGTGTAGAATCGTTCTATATACTATCGTTATTAATGCTATGAATGAATATTATTCAAACAATAGCTGACGTTTGAGAAACGCGTATCTGTCTACTTAACAATGAATAAATTTACATAACATTTTTGACTAATCTGCAGTCATGAAACAATGAATTTTTACATAAGCCAGCTCTCACTGCGAAGAATTTTCTATGGAACTTGCATAAATTCCCAAAACTTGATTTCAATTCCCATAATCCCAAAGTCCTGATAACACAGCGATATTGTCGCACATATACAGATCTTGTAAGCTTGATTCCCTCAAGCTAATAGTGCATCACTGAAGCCCCCACATTCCAAATTCAGCTTATTAGATTAATGAATTTTACGGATGTTCTTCAAATCTACCGATTCGTACCGGGAATTCTTTAAATCTACCGGGAATTGGCGCGTAGCTTTGCCTTTCTTAGTTGGGTACAAGTATAGTAGTTGGGGCCCTGAAAAAATAAAGCAAGTATGAAAGATGGGTCCCGTGAAAGTTTCAAAACCACAAGTCATCTAAAATTCACCCTATTTCCGAAAATTTTAAGCGCAAAAAATTTCTCCGGGGACTCATCCACATTTTTGGGACCCTGCTATCGTACTTGTACCCGTAGTTGTATTTGAAATAGCGAGTGAACTGTGAAAAACTAAAAGCATCGTTTCCATCAGTTTAAATCCAATTTCCTCTTGCTGGGAATAGCTTTGTACTGGATTTATTAAATGTAGTTATTTAAGTAAAACAATTGTTTTATGACTGATTTATTTAGTGTTTTTTTTAAACTTATCTATTTGACGACATAGTTTCGCTATAGTTTCGCTATTCGTTTGAACTTAATTCTTATTTCAGTGTAAGGTTAGAACTTTCTTTTTCAGATATCGCAACATGTCGCAATGGGCTCGGGTTTCCGAATAGTTTGCAAGAGTAATGTCGGTTATGATTACTAAATTTTGTCATACTTATTTATAACTGCTAGATTATAGCTGTCACATTTCACGATATCATAGATCTAACTTAGAATTATCTGCGCTAATTTTGTAACTGATTTTCGTATCATTTCTGTGAGATTATTACTTTACTTTGAATTACCTGATTCGGGTTTGGACACTGCTTTTCTATCGTATCGTTTTTACGTCATATCAATTTTGTGGGCGATTCAGAGATGTCACAAGGTAACATTAACAAATTTTAAGAGATTATTTATTATCTGGGGTGGATGATTTTCCTCTGCGGGGGAGTCGGGAGGGGGGTTGATGTCGATAAAATTTATTTTCCAGGCTCTCCTAAAATCTTTTAAAAATCCTTAGAGGTAGTATGCATTGGCCAGTCCGCCCAGTTTTTTAAGAACAAATTGGATGTTTTAAATTAGTACTAAATAGGCACTTGTGTGTGGTAAGTTGATCCGACCACTGAATATAACACAGTGAATTTTTGTAATTTTGGAGGTTTGTTAGAGTTTTAATTGAGTTTCTGATGATGCTGAAATTTTTTAATCTAGCTTTTTTTGAAAGAACTTGCATTTTTCCATTCAAGTAATTTTTGGAGGTTTGTTAGAGTTTTAATTGAGTTTCTGATGATGCTGAAATTTTTTAATCTAGCTTTTTTTGAAAGAACTTGCATTTTTCCATTCCTTAAAAACGATTTATGACTGTCTTTGAAATTTTTTATGACAGTTTGCGAAAACAGCCAAGTTCTTTTTGCAGTGAAATGCTGGAAAAGAATAACAATTGGACTTGACTCCGAAAAAATAGTTTTTGACTGCCCTTCGAAGAAATAATTTTGGACTTTCATTATTGACGTATAATGAAAAAGAATCGTGTGACCTATAATCATGTAATCCGACTATCGTTTAACGTATAATCGTATTTTTGGCTTCCGTTTAAAAAACGGATCCAAAACTCGGATCAAAATTCTCGCTCAATTACAGCAATCGCTCAGTGCTGTTAAGGTTGTTATCACTGCTCGATAATATTTGCCGGAAAAACTGATTGCTCCCAGAAAACACTTTGTTGGAAAACACCATCAGCCGCCCGTACATCTTCTAGTATTCAAAGAAAAATCTTTGTATCGCAAAAAAAAAGAGTATAATCAATTTTCTTATCGTATAATTCTGATATCTCGCTTAATTATATAAACAAATCATTTTTAAGGTTTTTCGTGTAAACTTGCCGTATATCGTATTATAGATTCAAAACACTGTCTCTACACTTGTGAGCTTTAGTGCGTTAGTTGATTAGTACGATCCTTCTTTTTTTCTAATCTAACTCGCAAATAAAAGTGATCATTATAAAAGTTCACTTCTTTGGAAATTTCACTGACCGTTTGGAACTTGCGTAGTATCTGTTCTCTGCTTTTTTGTGGCTTGTGTTTGTGAGTTATTAAGCGTCCGTGCTTGAGAGGTTAGTGTGTGAGACTCATAATGTCTAGGTTGCAGGTTCGAATCCGAGACGCTGCCGAGTTTTTACTAATTCGAGGCTTATTTCTACTTTTTCTTATTACGTTTTATAGAGCAGCGTTTTTGTCGTGTTCTCGCTAGTGTTTGCGAAGCGCAGCTTCGCCTCTGTGTAAACCTTTCTCGTGAAAATGCATTTTTTAGAGATATGTTTATTGTTTTATCCAGATAGACAGGTCCGTTTTAAGTATTTTAGTTCAATTTTGAGTGTTGCACCACAAAAAGTGAGGCATTACCATAGTGGTAAGACAATAACTAAGAGATTGTCAGATCGTGTACTTGATCATCTGCATCGGGAATGATATAGAGTGAGGACGAGATATCTTTTGGCCTCTAGTTTCAAGTCGACCACAGCCTGACCAATTTTGGCTGCAGTAGTGGTTAAACGTGAAAGTTCAAGACGCAAAAAACGGCACTAAAAAGATCTTGCTCAGTATAGTAATTCATGCTGAAATGTGAAGTAATAGGAGAGACGACGGACTATACTTAGACAGGCTACATAGCCTTTCAAAGATCCTCTGCGAATCGCGCCAGCCATAATTATAATTTGAAAGTTTGAGTGGAAGCCGAATGTTACATTTAGATGCACAAAATATGGCCAATTACAACCCATGGCACGATGCCGCCACCACTTCTATGCCAATGGAAACAGAAGATGCGAAAGTAATTTTTAATTCGAGTCGCCGTTTCCTAGGGCCCTTTCGAGCACTTATGAACCAAGAAGACCCGTTTGCAGGAGTGAACGTAGACGCAGACGAGGTGGATGCGAGACAGGTCGGGGGTCTGGTGAACGTGTCTTCGAAATATACAAGCGCAAATAGGTAGACACATTTTCCAGCGAGGCTTTATATTTTGATTATTTCTTTATAGCTCATTTCCTAATATTTTTAATAATCGATCTGCAACATATTAAAGAACAATGCGAGGCTGCGGCAAAATTTCCCTGTCCAGCTGGCCAGGAGTTTTTGCCGCAGCTTTCATAATATTTTTTTAATAGTCAAAGACGGGCAGATCTAGGATTTTCTCGGAGGGGGCGGGTTTTCAAAAAAAAAGATCGTTAACTTTGTCAATCTTGTTTTTAGGTCGACCAAATTGATTTTCTGAGCTCTCAAAAACCACTAAAGCGACCCTATTTTGACCGCAGGCAAAAGTTTCTGCGCTGTAGGCAAAATTTAAAAAAAAAAACAGGCGACCAAAGGCATTTTTAGGCACTTTTTAGACAGTTTTTGACCAAAAACCTAACTTTTCGGCACCCTATCCCCCCAAAAAACAATAGTACATATTGTCGCCCAAAGGCGCCTTGAGATATCAATTTTTGCCAGTCAGCCAAAAATTGGTATCTCAAAATAGTACAAAGAAAAGCCCACCGAAATTGCTGCGTATTCTTTGTCAATATTAACTTGTAACTTGGAAAATTGTTAGCTTTCAACTTGGTAATCAAGTAGGAAATTTCAACTTATGATTTTAGCCTTTCAAAAGCATTAATATAACTGCATGTAAAGTAATTTTACGGGACAGGGCAATGAAAAAGAGCCCCATAAATCTCTGTTTCAGAGAGCCTCTGTTGCACGAGAGAATCCAGCGACTTCTCAGCACCTCCTCCCCCAACGAGCCAGACATCTTCTACAAACTGTCCAAAGGTGGACTGAAAGGACGAGCTATTATTGTGAACATTACAAGTTTCACAGGTGAAAAAAGAACTTATGCACTTATGCAACTTTTCTTTTTCATAATTTCTCTCTCATTGAAATTGTTGTTAGTAAGATAGTGAGTTAATGTGAAGTTTTTGCTTTTTGTGCTAAGTATCATTCTGATTAGCTGGTCCAAATTTCTTCAATGATAAATTTGGGGTCTTTTCCAACGCGGAAAATTCAAAAACTTTCTCTTTGTTGTTTAATGGAGAAGGCAGTGTAGCTTGAGTTAAATGTTGGAATTTACAGCAATAGTTTTTTCAGAAAGTTGTTGTTTCTTCAATTGAGTGTAAATTAGTTGATGAGTTAGTTATAAATTGTTTTTGATGTCCCTTGTGTTCTCATCAGGCGATGAACAGAGTCGCGAGGGTTCGAACAGAGACGCCGTGAACATGATGACGTCATTGGAGAGTCTGGGGTTCAAAGTGGAGGTGTTTGAGAACCTGAAGAGCAGAGAGTTCTACCAACTTCTCTACAATCTCAGTGAGTACAATCTCAAGTTCAATCACATCATACCGCACAATAATGGGTCACCGGCCTATTAGCATGTGTGTCGATTAGCATGCCCATGTAAAAGAAAGTAGATTGAAGATTTGGTCTTTCACGTTTTCCTTTTTCAAATTTGCTATTTTGAATAGCGTGCACTTGGCCAAGTTTTGAATTAGGCGACAATGAAAATTTAACTCTCATGACATATCAAGTGGTTTCCGAAAATATTTGAATTTTTAGATTTTTTTTTTTCCATCTGAAAGCACACCCATTTAAAGCAAACATCATCGCATGCCAATAGGCACAAATGATAATCGCTACGCCCTTAAAATAATAATTGTTCAGCCGCTGGAACAAGTTAAAATAAACACGGGTCAAGTTTTTATCTCCATTAAATTACAAAAAGCAAAGCTTGCTTTATAGTATGAACTCTCTTTTTTTCCAACCTAAGTCGCAAATATTGTTGCGACAAAATCTGTTCATTTTGATCAATAACCAGCTATTAAGTACAGCCAATGCTAAGGATATTAACAGAGACTATTTTATTACAAATAGTTTTTTAGCTTAAAGGTATCATGGATCTGTAGCGTAGAGGTTGGGAGGGAGACCCGCTTCAAAATAAGAGGGTTCGAACCTGGACAGGGTCGGATGTTTTTAATGAGCATTTTCGTATACTAGTTAAAATGCGTCCGCTCTATAAATGGAGTATGTTAGCTTGTAAATTTCTTTTTTTTTCAAATTGATTGGTACTGCTAATGCGTCATAATTGGCTTGCGTCACTTAGCAGTTATGTAGACTCATAATTGGCGTGCGTCACTTAAGAAATTTTGTAGACTCAAAGTTTTACTCATTCACTTTTTCCAGTATCGTTATCAGTCATATTTTTGCTTGTGCATGCGAAGTACCAGGGGCGGATCTAAGATTTTCGGGCACTTTTTGGAAAAATTTTGGGCACTTTTTGGAAAAATTTCACAAAAAAAATTTCACACACGCGTTTTTTTTTGGCGCGCTCCCCTTCAAAGTAAGTATATATTGGCGCCTTAGAAAAATTTTCGGGTCCGTCACCAAAAATGGATTTCTTAAAAGTACCAAAGGGGGGACCCTATGGGTCGGCAGGGGTGTCAAATCCCTGAGGGGGGGGGAAGGATTTTATGATGTTGATCTTAGGCTGTAGACCGTCAGGTTCGCATTTTTCAATAAAAGCTTACATCTTAAACTGTTTCCAACGCTTTAGTGAAGTCTTATTATTACGCTACGTTTTATTTCGGAAACTCTAGAACATGGTCTCAGCGCATGATTTTTTCAAAATTTTTAACCAAAGTTTTTAATCACTTCTTAGAGAAGACTTAGTTGCTATGTAGTACAAAAAATTCAGTAGTAGAGACCTTTTTTGTAAAAAAAAAGATCTAGGGTTCGAAAGACCTGATCTCCTAAGTTTTGGGAGTTTTCTTGTCCCTTTTTTGCTGGTGTACGGGAAGTAGCTCTAGTGTATGCGTTTGTGTAGCAATAAGTATTTCATATTTTTGTTTTAGCTCTTGACCCGAAGAAAGTGAATGCCAATGTAGATGTGTTTGCTATGGTCATTCTTTCCCACGGAACTCAGTGAGTCTCACAATTTTAGTCATCCTTTTGCAGACTTGAAATAACGAGACAATGCTTGAATTCATTGAATTTATAAGTATTGCTGTTAAAAGTGAATACCCTGTATGTTATTTCATACTGAAGATCGTGTGTATTTTTTCAGTTAATTTTTAATTTTTCTTAAAGCTAAATTTTTTACCCTCAGTGGTGAGCGGTGGTGAAGTGGTTTCGTCTCCGCCTCACAATTGAAAAGTTGGATGTTCGAGGCCCACCATGATCCGTAATCGCTGCCTGAGGGCAAGGCAACATTACCTAGTCCAGTAAATTAGCCAAAAAACTGCATGTAATTCTGAAACAGGGGCGCAACAGCGGCTCTCCGCGAAGAGCTGAACAGCTCGTATGTTGGTCCTTACCCTTGGCGATAAACTGTCTCAATTGTTTTTTTTTACTTTCAAAATTGAGATGGGGATCCAATGCTTGGTTGTTTTCTGCGAAATTTTAATCTGTGTTAGATATCTCAGAGAATTCAATTGCGAAGTAGTTGGTTTTGATGTTAGAAACCGAGAGGAACATGACGTCATAATGAGCAGTGACTCGGAGGAGATCCTGTTCAAGTACATCACTTCCCAGTTTGCAGCCAACATCGCCAAGACACTGGCGGGCAAGCCGAAACTGTTCTTCGTCCAAGTAGGTCCAGTATATTATTTGAGTAAAACTAATTTGCAGGTTAAAGTCACAGAAGATTTTTGTGCAAAAGATTACCTGTTTCAAAAAATGCTTAGAAAGATTCGTACCAAATTATCTGCGATGTAATCGGAAAATTTGATTCCACTTCAATCCTCGTCCCATTTCCCCACATGTTATGAATTTTTTAATGTGAATAAATTAGCTGTTTTGAAAATATTTGTTTCTTATAAAAAATGCGCATTTAGTCACCATAGCTTAATTAAGTATTATGAATTTGAAAATTTTGCAAGGTGTGCGTGTGGGGGGGGGGGGGGTGGGTTAGGGGGAGTGGAAAAGAGTCAAAAATCAGTTAGTTTGCTGTTTATACTGGAGTTAAGTCTTGATGCTAAGTTTTTTAATGTGTTTAAATATATTATTTACAAATATTTAAAAATTTATATATTTAAAATTTATATATTTAAAAATTATAACCCAAGTATGTTCTGTCAAAAAGTTAAATATATAAAATTTAATTTAGTACAACTTCAAAAGTCAAGTATTAGATATTTCAATTTAAAAACCCAAGTGTTTGAAAAAAAAGTATCTTCTATGAATAGAAAGGGAGTAAAGTGCAAGCAGGTCAATCGGTGTTTGGTTGGTATAGCAGCCTGTTTGTTCAGGCCTGCAGGGGGGATAAAACTGACCCAGGGAGGGAAGTGGCTGCCGACTCTGCAGATGGAACGGCAGATGGGAGGAGCAAGATTGCCATGCGGGTTCAGAGTGACGGTGTTGACGAGCCAGATGCATTGTTCTTCCGGACAATCACGATTCCCGCCGAAGCAGACATATTTGTAGCCTACTCCACCCCTCCAGGGTCAGTTCCTATTCGAAGTCTTAATGAACAAGTTTGTTAATACACAAAGTTATTAAGGATAAAGTTAGTTCACGCTGAATCTTACATTTTAGCATTTTAACATTTGGCCTGTTTGTTGTGATAAACTTATCAAAGAGCCTTTTCTGCTGTTAAATAAGTCGTTTCAGATAGTTGTACAGTGAGTCGATTAACCAATAGCCTCTTTGGAGGATTTCAGAAAATCCGACAAACGACAAGATTACAAACAAGATCAACGTTTCTTGACCTGGCTGACGGTCGAAGAGTGATTGCAATCTTCAATTCACTAATCTTAATGTTTTTGACCCGGTCGAGGGCTGAATTATCAGAAATTATTTGGTGTTTGACTGCCACAAATGTTGCGATTAAGGAGGATGTCAACTGAAAGTCTACACAGTTGGGCTGAGAAATCTTGCTGTTGTCTGTGCTCAGACTCAGTACATGCACAGGAAACGTTAACGTGTTTTACCTGTTGTAAAGTTGCTCCCCTCAGTTGCATCGGAACGGAATCAATCATCCCACAAGCGGAACCATGTCGATAAAGGTAATAATGAATACGTTAGCTAATTTACGAGACCAATTGCATCACCTTAAGGGACTGCCTAATCAAGTAAAGTTGCTGCAAGAGGAAATTAGAGGTAAAAGTTGGAATCCCTACAATATTGCTGCGCAAACAGAAAAAACCAGCATATTGAACAAGCCTGTGTTCAACCTTAGCGACAAGGGCCGTGATAGATTAAAGAAATACAGCAGCATCAAAAGATACAAAATTGGTGACTCTGAAGATGAATCACCACCAAAAGGTAAACCAGATAGAAAACCACACAGAATGAAACTAAAGATCGGAACGAAAGAATCTACTGGTAATTTCGCGGCTGCTAAGTGAAATCTTGCTCGGAGACACATTTACCTAGGAAGGATTTCAAAAGAGTACCAATGAAGGTATAAAGAACTGGTGTTCAGCAAATGGAGCTGAAATTCTCAATATGAGAGAAGTTACAAGGTCAGGCAGCTCAACAAGAAGCTTTCACTTGGTATTTGATGAAGAGTCTAGCAGTGTCATTGAAACAGAAGATTTCTGGCTTGACAATGTGATTCCCGGACGCTTCTTCCTAAACCAAGAAGCTATAGACTGGTTGAAAAGTCTAAAAAAAACGACAACCCAGAAAATGATTGACGACGCAGATACGCTTACTGTGTTTTTTTTTAAATGCCAGATCTATTAGAGTAAAACTACTGAAATGCAGCCATTACAAATTTGTAGTTTTTGATTTCTTTTTTATCGTGGAATCATGGCTTTGCTTAAACTCAGATGAAAGTTACTTTGTTAAGCAACATTTCTCTGGATCCGAAATTTATCGGTTCATAAATTAATCACGAAGCGACAGCTGTGGTGGAGGACTTATCTGTATTTACTAAAATGTCTTGAGTTTCTCCCTTAAAAATCATATATGCAATGAAAGCTTCGAAGCCTGCTGCTTAAGTTTTGTCAGCAAAACAACCACTATAATTTGATTATTTGTAGACCTCCCTCAGCCAGTTCCACCAATTTTTAGAAATTTATATATGAAGAAGTTTTACCGAGCTCCTTGCAATCTGACCTCATTCTCATTGATGATTTCTATTTACAAAAAGTGTCAAGCTCTTGAACATCTTTTTTTAATAACTTAGTTAATTGTTGCTGAACCGACTCACCAGTGCGGTATTGTACTAGAATTAATTGTTACCAATAATCTAGAGTTGTTAGAAAAAGTTGACATAGAAGATGTTGTTTCTCTGATCACAAGCTACTCAAGTTTGATTTAATTTCATGCAACAATCTTCCGAAAGTTTCTAAATGCCTGAAGAGAATTTAGAAAAAGCTCCCTTAAAAGAAATTCTATGTGAATTTGAACTAAATCTCAACCTCAATATGCACATATGAGACGGGCAAGTACTGATTGAACACTTAATGTCTGTTCTGGAAAACACGGTAAACCAATTTGTACCTTTAGAACAACGAAATGCGAAACTGAGGGTATGTCCGTTTTTTGATCAAGATCTTCAAATCGCCAAACGAGTAAGGCGTTTACGAGAAAGAAAATATCGCCTAAGGCTATGTGAAGTTAATAGACGAAGGTTTTACAAAAAAAGGTTGCGGAATCCAGAAACTTTTTCGACTTGAAAAAAAAAGGAATTTTATCATAGAAAAATCAATGAGTGCCTAAATTCTCAGAAAAATTTCTCTTTGCTGAAAAAGTTGCTCGCAATCATACCAAATATCCGAAAGCACTTGGTGATCTTGAGCATTTAAATGAAGCTTTTGATACTTTTCATTGACAAAATAAACGAAATAAAACAATCATTTTGAACAGAACCCCCGGAACTCAGATACCGAGTCCAATCATCAGTGCTCAGTAAAATCAAAGAAGTAAAAAGTAGTAAATTTGAAGAAATCATCAATGCTCTGTCAGATAGTGCATGTGTACTGGATCCTCTCTACCCACTAAACTATTCAAATCTTTGTGAGAAGTTTGCAAAGACTATCTCCTTCTAGCCCTGAGGGCAAGTTTCCAAGATGGTATTTTCCTACAAACTCCAAAAAGCCATAATAAAACCGACGCTAAAGAAACCATCACTTGACCCAATTGTTAAAACATTATAGAACTATTGCTAGTACATGGTTTCTGAGTGAAATGTTGCAGTGAACGATCATCTCCAAAAATACGACTTGATGGACGATAATCAATCTGCTTACCGAACCTTACGTTCGATTTAAACATGTCTTCTGAAAAGTGTTGAGGAAGTTTTGAATGGCTTGATGCAAATGAAATTGTTATCGTTATAGGTTTTGATCTGTCTGCTGCGTTTGACACCATTGATTTCAATATAATGAGTGAAATATAAACTTAACGATTCGGAATCATAGGAAATTGAAATTGCTGGCTAATGTTTTATTTAACCAATCGTACGCAGCAAGTTAGCTGCTAAAAGACCGCCTCACAGGAGACCAAGGTGAAATTTGGAGTACCTCAAGGTTCCATTCTAGGTCCCATGTTATTCACGATGTACATAACGACAATCGGTGACTTTCTTAAACAATCTCAAATTTGTTATCAGGTTTACGCGGATGACGCGCTGATGTCTTTGTTCTTGATAAAAATACCGAGTCGGATATTTGTAAAGAAATGATCAAAAGAGTACTTGATGATATCTCAAGAGCTTTCAGTCAATTGAAGATTAAAATCAACCCAGGTAAAACGGAAATTCTTTTTATGAAATCCAAACGACTCAATTACATGTTCAATAATATTACAATTATGAATGAAGCAATTTCTCTAGTTAACTTCTTAAATTCTTTAGAAGTTACCTTGGACAGTTCTTTTTCGCTCGACAAACATGTCAACTTGATTTCCTCATCGTGTTTCAACCTGCTGCGTAAACTCTACCAGGTTCAAAATTACTTATCCCTGAGTCTCGAATTTTGTTAGTGAATAGTCTGATTTCCACCGGAATTGAGTGATGCAATATCTTTCTGACAAGTACTTCGAAACGAATTTTTGAGAAATTTCAATGTGTTTAAAATTCGGCTGGTCGATTCGTCTTCGGTCTCTTGAAACTGAATTTTGTAAAACTGAAAAATTGGTTTCAAGTTTTCACCGTACCTCGTTTGGAAAAAAAGACCATGAAAATGTGGGATTAAAATAGTGGAATAACTTGCCAAGTCCTCTTCGAACTATGAAGAAGCCACATGTTTTTAAACGTGACATAAAGACGTTTTGTTCAGAAAATCTTATAATCATGGTGCTCATTATTACATCGTTTCAGTGAAGAAAATGTATACAAGACCAAGTAGAATCAGCCAAATCAAGGCAAATTGAAGAAAAGAGGAATTGAAAATATTGAAGCGAATAAACCTTTTTGAGGACAAGCCATTCAGCCGAGTAAAAGTATTTTTCTCGGATAAACTGTGTGTTAGGTAGGATCGTCGCTGGTGTATGGCGTCTTTTTTCGAGAGGCACTTACTATCTCTTGTCTCGGTGGAACTATCGAAACCTTGTGTAATGAGAACTTTTTGACTTTTTGAAGGAACTGTCGTATTGAGTAATTTAGTTCATTTCCAAAGCTGTCAATCAAATGTTCACTCTTGGTGCTAGACTAATTGATTAGCAGGTGTTTGTCCTTGGAACAGTCTGTCACCCTTGGATATTGTTTCTAACCACTCTTGATGCTAACTTTGCAAGATTAAGTTACTGTATATCTATCTCGGAATTAACAATTGCTCGACGATCGTTTTACCTTCTCGACATGGCGCAGTCGGCAGGATTAGGTGGGGGAAAGAATCCACTGGGCATCACGGGATTTTGGCCAGCAAAATGCACGGAACCGCCAATGATGTGGGAATTCTGGATCAACAGATTCCAATGGGGAATGGTCGCCAAACACTCGCTGAATCCAATGAACTTTTATTTCGCCGCGAATCTCACAGCCGCACAAATAACTGACTTGCCGGCGGAAGTAGACGGAAAAAATCGGCGGGAATCGGAAATGGTGTTAATTTCGAACCTGTATTTGTGTTTGGGGGAGAAGGGGCAGGATGAACTGCACAAAAGACGACCACACCTGGACCTTCAGACGATTCGGTACCCACGGATGATACACGCGCTGGAAACGGAATTCAAGAAAGAAAGGAACGAAACATATGAAACATACCAACTCCTTTCTCGTAAGCAATTTATTAATGAAAGTCTTGAGCAATTCCACTCCGTACTCAGCGGATTGGCAGCGCGGTGTAACTTTGGAGTACTAGAGGACCGAATACTAAGAGACGTATTCATTGTCAATATGAACAACCGGGATGCACAAAAAGAACTACGCAGGTCGACAAAAACACCTGAGGAAGTGTACCGGATAGCTCTCTCGTACGAAAAGGGTAGCAAGTATGCATCCTCATACGTTGCCACGGGATCAGCGGGGACCCCTGGATTATCATCAGGAGGCGG